CAAATAGGTCTTTTAAGTACAAAGAATGTGTTTTTTAAATTTTGGGTTCAGTTCAGAAAAAAAAGGAGTAACAACGAAATGTAATGTGTTGCTCCTTTTTTTTTGTTTCATGTATTAATGAAAATTTTAATGAAAGGCTATTGGGGAAAAAAACCCAAAATGTTCACATGAAAAGAGGGGGAAACACAATCTTGACATGATTTTCCGGTAAAGTCAACACAATAGTTTGAATGAGATTCAAACGAAGTGGACTCTGGTTGGAGAAGGGTCTTTGAGAAACACCAAACAGAAATAGTTCTAGGTAAAGAGCAATAACTGTTTTCTCAGTTAAGCCACTCCTGATGTGGAGTTGATATCAGATATGTCTTATCTGGGCAAAGGAGAACATGGAGATACTGTTGTTTCCTATAATATAATATATATATTTTTTTTTGTTTAGTACCGGAAAAGTGTGAAGACACACCAGAGAGCCACAGAATCCAGATAGTTTGAAATCTGATATAGTTTCTACAATCAGAGATGAAGCCATGCCATGTAATCATGGGCCATAAATAAATAAAAAAAAATCTGAAAAACTTATATCACACAACCAAAATGCCCACAGATGCCTACCAACCATTCAATCTGACTCAAAAATGTGTTTTAGAAAATTATTTAATATTGGAGGTGCATACTTACCTACCTACATTTTAACATCTGTTTTGTTTTTTTAGCATAATTAAACAGCAAAAACATTTGAAATTAATAATACGTGTAAATTGTGTGTGTATATGTATGTATATATATATATATGTATATATATATATATATTGGCCTAATTCATTTATAATCAAAGCGAGCTGAGATTTTCTAAGGGGTGTGCAGCTACTGCACAAGTTTAACCTCTCAAATGAATTTATGTAAAAAAAAAAAAAGTTAAAACAGTCTTAAAACAAAGATACAATTGATCTGTGTTTTCCTACTTACACGGAAACTGCTTTTCAAGGCAGCCTGCCAACACAAAAACATTAGTTTATTTAATAGAAAATCAGAAAATGTGGAGCAATTGTTCAATATTTTCACTTTAATGATTAGAATTGAATAAACACATTATACTGTTAGACAGACGAAGAAACCATTTTATATCATGTAGCAATGCTGGGATTTATAATAAGGATAAAAAAAGACTCTGCTCTTTTAAATTAGTTTTTACCAAGAATAAATAAACCTGTGACAGAAACTGAGCTCGTCCTCATGACTGCTGCAGTAATGCAATGACCATGGAGATAAAAAAAAACTGTTTTTAAAAAGTTGGTTTACACTTAAGAATAACCATCATAACAATTATCTATAAATGATAAAGAGACTATTTGTCATTAACAGAATAGTTATAATGTATAAACTGCACCTTAATCATTTATAAATGTAAATAGCTCATATTGCCCTGCATTATTACCCAAACATCAGTGGCTTAAGATCTGAATCTAGCCTTTATTTTTACTTTCATTTGCCCTGTCATGTTAGACTTACCCTTACCCCAGCATCAGTGGGCTAAATACATTAATAAATGATCGTTTTACCTTGCATAAATGATTTAGATGTAGTTAATAAATGATTATCAAACATTAATAAACCATCTGTTAATCATTTATAAATGGTTTCTTATGATATATAAATGATGGTTAAGTGTAACCGCCTTTTTAAGGACTAACTTTGCATTCTTTTTTTCTGAGAACAAATTTCATTTTTTTGTTTTTTTCCCCCAACATTTTGAACAAAAGCGATTTTTCTAATAATGATTTAATGTCAGAAGGCATCAAACCTGGGCCTAAATGAACAGGTTTCACTCAAACACCACCCTTTGATGGAGATAAGCACCAATTAGTCAAAGCTGTAGTGGATCTGTAGGCCCCTCTTAATCGTGGAATTGCTTTAATATTGCTTTCAGTCAGGGTTTTTTAAAACACTGATGACCTGTTTATGTGGTAATAAAGTATCTGAGTCAGATTTGGTACAAGACTTTGATTAGGTCACCCCAAAATCCTTACTTTGCTATTTTGAGGCGTTCTGATTTGGATCTCATGGTGCATCATGGGTGATTGCCCTCCTACATGAATGCACTCTTTCTATTTTAAGGGGCAGAGTTCATAGATCCATCATGTGCAGGTTTATTGATGATAAAGCACCTGATAAAAATTTTCAGAATATTTTCCCAAAACTCTTCTTTCATACAAATGAGACGATTGTTTCTGTTCTTTTTGTCAACAACAGTTTTGGTCCTGGGATTCTCCCAATGATCATTCTCTAGTGACATGTTTCCTATGTTCTTTAATCCAACCCGTCTTTCCTCTTATATGAATTGTGTGAAATAAATGAAAATGCATTTTTTTTTCTTTTTTTAAGTGCTTAATAAACTACATCCTCAGATATTCTCTTGCGTTATTTTTGTGACGTCCAAGAATCATATCCAAACAAAAAATGTTATTCCACACTGTTTATTTTTGGATAAAGAGCCAGATGAGAAGAAGCATAGGTCTTTGAATATTTCTCTCATTGTTCTCTTTTCTATCTACTTAAATATAATGTAAAAGTTTCCTTGAATTGTCATTGAAACATTTCTTATGTTTCCTTCGAATATTTCAACATTTTAGTTAGCATATTCATTCACTATAGGTCTTTACTGCCATGGTGTTACAAGGCAATTATGTAGGGTCTCTCTGTATTTTTTTTTATATCAAGACCCTTTGAATTTAAATCTAGTTTGACCCCTGAGCAGCGGTAACTAAGGGGCAAATTCTCAGAAATAAAGCCAAAATTGCCAAAGTAGAAAGATGAATGCTTTTGTTCTTTGCTTTTTTTGAGCAACAAAGATTTTATTGATCTGTTACTGATGCATAATTCAAAGTAGATTAGGAGGTGTTTGTTTTATGTCTAAAACCTTTCCTTTATTGCACAGTTTGTTAGCTTGTCTGTCTGCTATATTAACCAATATGATGTGTTGAACTCTATCTGCTATTTTCACAATTTTTGTGAGACACTTTTTTATAAAGTAGGGCATTAATTCATAAAAAAGTTTATATGAATTCTATAAATCAAAGTTTTCTGCCCAACAGCAATGATGAACTGCACTGCAGCATTCTATACCCAGCAGTCGGAAGAGATGTCAGTCTGGTAAAGAATCTGGCTGTTATTCGAAATTGTAAAGTTTACGGGGTTTTTTGCAACATAAAGCTGACTAGAACCTTTTTAAGTTTTAGTCGACTAAAACTGATTTAAACTATCACATATCGTAATGACTGAAATGTAAATAAACTAATAATAGTTTTTATCCTGAAGACTAAGACTAAATCTAAGATGGCTGTCAAAAAAAGCAGATACATTTTGAAAATTTGTGAACATTTCTTAAAATATGTATATAGGAGGGTGATATGTTGCTTTTTGACATCCTTAAAGCTGCAGTCTGTAACATTAAGAGAAGAGCAGACTTCGACTGAAAATTTGAAGAAAAACAGGTTTCACGCCACTCCCCCACCCTCTCTGCTTCACTCATGCCCCACCTCCAAGCTCCACCCCTCTCACAGCATCTGCGCGGCTACCGCATGCGACCAAGCAGCGTACGCAGCATGGAGTGTGAACCGGTAACCCCTTGCTCACACTGGCTCCGGTGCAGTTACCGAGCCGTCGGAGACCGCAACTCCCGCACACCCCCTCTCACACCGCCCTTTTGACTACGGTGCGGTGCGGCTCTGCGGCTCCGGCAACAGGTCCGGAGATTTAACAGAAGTTCACTTGAGTTCACGTAACTTCACGCGATAACACGGCCCAAATAAAGGATTTTTGCGAGAGCTTGTTGCGGAGGGCTCCGGCACGCCGCAAGGATAGCTTTCTTGCGGAATTTTCTGCAGCGCCGGAGTGTCTCGGTAACCGCAGCCGGACAGCTCAGCAGCCGGTGAGAGAGGTTTACGTCTTTTTAATGACTTGGAATCACTGCGGCGCGCACCCACCGCACCGCAACGGTAAGACCGGAGTCGGTGTGAGCCTGGGGTAAGAGCGATGACACTCATCTCCAAGCAGCTAGATATAAGATGGTGGTTATACCGAAGTTTGCCGTGTAAGCAGTTGTCGGCAGGGGCAGTAAGGGCAGTTTCTCTTTCGCTGGTGGCTGTCGCTCCGCCATGACTTCCATGCGCGTCCTCCTGACTGCAGCAGCCGGGCGGCAGCAGCCGGTTCAGCGGTGAGAGGGAGGGGGCGGGATTCAGCGTGTGTGAGCTGTGATTGACACTCCATCAGACGCTCCTCTGGCTGTGATTGGTTGTTTTGACTCGTCCTGAATTATTCTTTCCAGATTGAAATACAGGCAGTATGCGGGACCAATTGAAGCAGTTTTTTTCACAGGTTACATATCACATGTACTGCTGTCTGGGCATAGGGACAGTTTTAGCCAATATGACAAAAAAGTGATTTTTAAAAACTTACAGACTTCAGCTTTAAGCCTACTTAATTTTAGCAGAGGACAGAATTAACAGATTGTTTAGATTGTAGAGGTCTGGCAGTAATAGAATAGAAATACCTTGTATTGCCCAATGGAAAGAAAGTGTAGGCATGTGGAAAAGCAAACCAACCAAAACCAAAGTTGTTCTGGACTGACTCACCGTCTCACCGACTCAGGCACCGTGTGGGGTAGGAGGAGTTACGTGACCAACCGGGACCAAAAAGCAGAGATCATCTGTCCGGTCAGTTAACTGAGTTCACTATAAAGTCCACTATATAGTCCCCGCTCTATATAATAATTGAGGGATTTAGCAGTTAGGGTGGATGTTCGGTCCCAGTATGCTTGCGAGTTTACGATGAGCTATGAGAACAGCAACTTTTAAAAAGAGCGTGCACGAGGAGAAATGGGCTAGCACGTGTTTAATAGGCGTTCCCTCTCAGTAGCGGGTACAGGGTTCTCTATGTAGATTTTTCTTTTAAGTGGATAGGGCGGGTCTTCTAAAACATTTGCAAAAAACCTCCACAATACCTTTAAGTGCCAATATTTTTATGAATTTTGTAAATGTATTACAGTCGACATAATAACTAAACAAAATAACTAAACGTTCACATTGATGTATAACTTACAGCTGGCCCATCAAACAGCATGATACTTACAGCAGTGTCTCTCATCCTACAGTAAGCCTTGCACAACTTTAGCAAATGAGCCTTGTAGGAATGAGACAAACTATTCAAATTCAGATATGCAGTCATCTGATGCAGCACACAAACTGTAACATAGGCCTTAAAGCCTCCTAATCTATGACACACACCCACATTTTTCTTATTCCTTTAAATTTCCACAGTCAAACATCAAGATGGATCCTCTGGTGGCGTTTCAGGTTACATTTCTGGGTGAAGCGTTTGCCACATGCCAAGCAGCAGTACGGTCTCTCCCCTGTGTGGACGCGCCGGTGGGCTTTGAGGTTGCTCAGCTTAGTAAAAGTGTGGCCACAGAGAGGACAACGGAAAGGCCGCTCGCCTGTGTGAATCTGCATGTGGGCTTTCAACCTGCTGGGATGAGGAAAGCTTTTGTCACACTCCTCACATTGTAGGAAGGGCCTGAAGGGCTGGGAATCAGAAAGGGAGGCAGCAGAGGGAAGAGACTGATTGTAGGATTTGATGCCAACCAATGAGGCATTGGATCGGTTCAGAGCTAAGGTCTGTTTGTGAACACACTGCACTGACAGTGTGGAGGGAGTGCTTTTAGATGGTGGGGAGCCTCTAGTGGGGGTTAATTAAGTGTACAACCTGAGAGTGAGCATCAGAGTGCGCTGTTGTCGTCATGTGGGACAGTTTGTGTGTGGCTTTCTTAAGGGGCCGGTGGAGGTGCTGCATAGATGTCTGTAGCCTGAGTCCTGAACCCTTGTGAGAATGAAGCTTCACTCCCTCCTGTACCAAGGATCTGTGGTAAATATGATTTGGTTTGTGTGTTTCTGAGTGCACCCTCTGTTCCTGTGACAAACAGGTGAATGGTTCTTTACCAGCCTTTGATGGTGGTTTTTCTGCAGCCCCACTTTCCTTAAACTCATCAGAATCAACCATGACCTCCTCTTTAACTGTCACCCCCAGGGTGTTGCTGGGTTGCAGTCTGGCTTTAGGAGATTTAGAGCAAGATGCTTGATCTTTAACTAAAGTAAACTGAACATCTGCTCTGACTGGGCTGGATAGCTCATGTTCCATATAATTCACAGACCCTTTATCAAATCCACCTTCTTGGGCCAGCTTGTGGTTATGCAGAAGTCCAGCTGCTGTGGCCGACAGGTCAGCCCACCTTGAATGGAGTCCAAAACCTAAAACACTGGTTTTCTCTGCAGCAATGTCCGTCTCCTCGTGGTTGTCAGGAAACACGCATACAGTAGACATCTGTGGGTCTCTCTTAACAACATTCCTCAGTAACTCTTCTGTGTTTCCCTGGGTTGGTGTTGGCTGTGCTTCTACCACCTCACCTGGGGTCTCTGATTCAGCTTCACCTGGGAGAATTTAAAAAGAGCCTCATTGTACAACCAAAGATGTGTTAACAGTCAAGGATAAAAACAAACTGCATACTTTTCTTAGATGCAATATATTAAAAATATATAAATAAATTATCATTTATTACTCTCTTAATAAGAACTCACAGCAAAACCCCACCCAGCTTTCGCTTAAAAATCCGCAAAGTCATCTGATTATATAATGCAACAGAATTGTTTTATGATTTCAATAGTTTTAATTGTTTATAAAAAAAAAAACAATGTCATGTTGTAACGATGCACTACCAGGTCTGACATCAGGACCTGTAGTGTGGGGTCCCCCCAGGGAACGATCTTAGCGCCCTTCCTTTTCACCCTCTACACTGCAGACTTCAGACACAACACGGACAGCTGCGTCCTGCAGAAGTTCTCCGATGACTCCGCCCTTATTGGCCTCATCACAGATGATGACGACGCGGAGTACAGAGGACTTATTCAGGACTTTGTGGACTGGTGTCAGCTGAACTACCTCCTCATAAATGCGGGAAAAGCCAAGGAGATGGTGGTGGACTTCAGAGGCCGTCCCACCGTCCCTCCCCCAGTGAACATCCAGGGAAAGGACATTGAGAGGGTGGACACTTACAAGTACCTGGGTGTTCATCTCAACAACAAACTGGACTGGACTCACAACACGGAGGCTCTGTACAGGAAGGGCCAGAGCCGGCTCTACCTCTTGAGGAAGCTCAGGTCTTTTGGGGTGAGATGGCCACTCGTGAAGACCTTCTACGACTCTGTGGTGGCATCAGCCATCCTGTACAGTGTGGCCTGCTGGGGCAACAGCATCACGGAGAGGGACAGAAAAAGACTAGACAAGATCATCAAGAGGTCCAGCTCAGTCCTGGGCAGTCCTCTGGACTCTGTACAGCAGGTGGGGGACAGGAGGGCCCTGTCCAAACTCATGTCTATGCTGGACCATGAGGACCACCCCCTGAAGGACACTCTCTCTGCTCTGGAGAGCAGCTTCAGTGAAAGACTGATACACCCTCGCTGTATAAAGGAGAGATTCCGCAGATCCTTTCTTCCTGCTGCTGTCAGACTGTACAACCAACAATGCTAGCTCCGTATCAACCATATGTCTACTGTCACTTTACCTGTTATTATTGCATATCTATTGTATACTTCACTCATATCTATTTAACTCTGCAATAATTTAATACAATCAATCATTTGCACAGAACTTTACTGTTGTCACTTTATACCAGTGTTGCCTTGTCTGTATATACTTAATGTATATTTTTTATATATTTTTAAATATTTCTATACTTTGTATTCTTCTTTTTTCCTACTGTACTGTTCACTGTGATGCAACGCTGCAATTTCCCCACTGTGGGACAAATAAAGGATTATCTTATCTTATCTCTTATCTTGTCTACTCTTGTTTCCCTTGGTCAACACAATAATTGAGTTATGCACTTTTGTTCATAACTTTTGTTCATAACACATTTGTTCTGACCTTTACCTGGCTATTATATATATATATATATATATATATATATATATATATATATATACACTATATTGCCAAAAGTATTTGCTCACCTGCCTTGACTCACATATGAGCTTAAGTGACATCCCGTTCCTAATCCATAGGGTTCAATATGACGTCGGTCCACCCTTTGCAGCTAGAACAGCTTCAACTCTTCTGGGAAGGCTGTCCACAAGGTTTAGGAGTGTGTTTATGGGAATTTTTGACCATTCTTCCAGAAGCGCATTTGTGAGGTTGCACACTGATGTTGGACGAGAAGGCCTGGCTCTCAGTCTCCGCTCTAATTCATCCCAAAGGTGTTCTATCGGGTTGAGGTCAGGACTCTGTGCAGGCCAGTCAAGTTCATCCACACCAGACTCTGTCATCCATGTCTTTATGGACCTTGCTTTGTGCACTGGTGCACAGTCATGTTGGAAGAGGAAGGGGCCAGCTCCAAACTGTTCCCACAAAGTTGGGAGCATGGAATTGTCCAAAATGTCTTGGTATGCTGAAGCATTCAGAGTTCCTTTCACTGGAACTAAGGGGCCAAGCCCAGCTCCTGAAAAACAACCCCACACCATAATCCCCCTCCACCAAACTTTACACTTGGCACAATGCAGTCAGACAAGTACCGTTCTCCTGGCAACCGCCAAACCCAGACCCGTCCATCAGATTGCCAGATGGAGAAGCGCGATTCGTCACTCCAGAGAACGCGTCTCCACTGCTCTAGAGTCCAGTGGCGGCGTGCTTTACACCACCGCATCCGACGCTTTGCATTGCACTTGGTGATGTATGGCTTGGATGCAGCTGCTCGACCATGGAAACCCATTCCATGAAGCTCTCTGCGCACTGTTCTTGAGCTAATCTGAAGGCCACATGAAGTTTGGAGGTCTGTAGTGATTGACTCTGCAGAAAGTTGGCGACCTCTTCGCACTATGCGCGTCAGCATCCGCTGACCCCGCTCCGTCAGTTTACGTGGCCTACCACTTCGTGGCTGAGTTGCTGTCGTTCCCAAACACTTCCATTTTCTTATAATACAGCTGACAGTTGACTGTGGAATATTTAGGAGCGAGGAAATTTCACGACTGGATTTGTTGCACAGGTGGCATCCTATCACAGTTCCACGCTGGAATTCACTGAGCTCCTGAGAGCGACCCATTCTTTCACAAATGTTTGTAAAAACAGTCTGCATGCCTAGGTGCTTGAATTTATACACCTGTGGCCATGGAAGTGATTGGAACACCTGATTCCAATAATTTGGATGGGTGAGCAAATACTTTTGGCAATATAGTGTATATATATATATATATATATATATATATATATATATATATATATATGTATATATATATATATATATATATATATATATATATATATATCTCCTGTTTGGTACCTTACCGGCTTGTTTTGTTTGTATGACCGCGATTACAGAAAACGACTTATGAAGTCAGACCAGCTAGAAGAGCAAGGTGCTCGAGAACGCTGGGACCCATTTCCACCTGGATCCCCGCTCATTTTCGCCCTCATATCCCTCCGTTGTTGGTCAAACTTGCCCCCACTTCCTCACCGCCTCGGCCTTATCTAGACCCACAGTTTGTTCCTGATTGTCCCTCTTGTGTTGGGGCGTTGAGTAACATATTGCAAACCACGCTTCAAAATTGAGCATAAATCAAAAATGTCTGCGTCATACCTGCGACAGCCTCACTGCGACACACTGCTGAGGGAGTATAACCAACCCTTTAGTCAAACAACTGGACACGGCTCACAAAAAGACATTTATCTTGACATTTACAGATTGTGTTGCTTTTCAAATGTTCTTTCCAATTGTTAAATCAGTTACTTACAATCTGGAGTCTTGCACCACTGTCTCATATGCAGGGAAGAACAAGATGGTTTCTTTACTTCTTCCTCTTTCATTTCCAAAGTTGAAATGATTTCGTTCCCTTCTGTTAACTGAACAAAGAATGACATGTGATGAGAACCAAATCACAAGGCAATCTGAATTTTATTCTGACACTCTCACTGGTGATTGAAACTAAACAAGTTGTCTAAATCTAGTTGAAGCACTAAATCAAGCTCAACTAGTTCTCCAATAGACATAAACACAACCACCTAAAAAAAAACACCTCACAGTATCATATAAATTAAATAGTAGAAGTATGATTCTATGACATTTTCACTCTCTTACATCATTGTGAAAGTTTTTTCCCCCACATTTTTTTCAAAAATTGTGACAGTTTATTCTGTTTTCTAGGGTTCTCGTCAGCTCTGTCAGGCTGAGGTGTGTTGATGTCTTGCAACACCTTGGTTTTCTTTTTTTTCTTTTGCAGTAATACTTCTATTGATTTGCTGCCGCCTTTAAAAATCACTGGTATGTATTGTGTGGTCCAGAGGAGTGTGCAGGTTGCTCAGTGATTGCAGGTTTCTTTTATGTGGTCTGTTTGACTTTCTCCAGACACGCTGCTGTCAATAAAAGCCAAACCGCACCACTTAAAAAGCCTCGTTGTGTGTTCTGAAGAAAATCTGAAAAACAGTGCTCTCATGTTGTTATCTGGAGAAGTGGCACACATATCTGTATATATAATTTCTTTTAATGCACACAGGGCAAGGACAATATGGGCCAATTGATTATTTTATGTAGTACCGGCAAGAATAAAAAACTATGTTCACCAGAGCGTACACAGTACCTGCTTCATTTTGCATATTATTTTCACTTTTTTAATTTTCACCTTTGTCTACACAGGTTGTCTCATTGAGATCTAAGATCTCATTTAGAAAGGAGACCTATGCCAGCCTTTGTTTTTTCTCTGTTGTACACCAATATTCATAGCAGGATGGATTTCCAAATAATGTTTAGAATCTTCCAGTATTCTAGCTTGAATAAAAATATCACAGTTCCAATGTTTTAACAAAGTTAAAAAATAAATAAATAAAAGAGATAGGCAATCATGAAGACAGACTACTGCTTAAATATACTGAATGTTAGAGTTTTAATAAGTGATTCTATTATGATTATTTGCAAGACTTTTGAATTAGACATGCACACCAAAGATGAAATTAGATGTTCTCTAATTTTAGAAGTTCATATTTAGTAAACAACCCTTTAGAATATTATACTTTTTAAACATTTACTTTTAGTAACTTTTAAATCATTAAAAGGCAATTTGCCTGCAGCCATAGCCTGCAGGATACTGAACGGACAGTGTTACTTTCACAAAAGCATTATGTCACTCATATTTCTATACCATGTTAGCTTGTTTTTCAAAGTTGGAAGCTTTTCTGAACACTAAAATTAGTTTTTCCTGGAAGCAAGTTGAAAGACAAAATCCTCGCTTTCAAAGCAGCTGGTCAGCACTTTCAGGTATAGTTAGAATAGAATTCAACTTAATTGTAATTACACTGTCACAAGTACAAAGCTGCCAAATGAACTCTCTGCATTTAACCCATCACTTTGAGTAGAAGTGGGCTGCCATTGTGTTTCGCCTGAGGAGCAGTGTGGGGTTAAGCGTCTCGCTCAGAGACCCAGAGTGGCAGTCTGTGGGAGTGGGGCTTAAACTCAAAAGCGCAATGTTCTAAGAACTAGGCCACACCTCCACTAAAGGACGGTTTATACTCAGAAACCAGGTCGTCTGCGTGTGTGTTGCAGTTTACGCAGGTGACCGCACAGTGCTACAGACAGGAAGCCTCTGATTGGTCAAATCTACATCCGCTCCACACTATGCCTATTTCCTGTCTGATACCTTATCGGCTTGTTTTGTATGTATGACCGCCATTGTAGAAAACGACTCGTTATGATGGACCAGCTAGAAGAGCGATGTGTGAGAGAACGCTGGGACCCTTTTTCCACCTGGATCTCAGCTCTTTTTTGCCCTCATGTCCCTCCGTTGCCCCTAGCCTTTTTCCACTTCCTCACCCCCTCGAACGTAGCTAGACCCACAGCTAGTTCCTGAGTGTCCCTCTTGTGTTGTGGCATGGAATAACATACCGTAAACCATGCTTCAAAATCGGGCATAAATCAAAAACATCTGCGTCATCCCTGCGACAAGCTCACTGCGGCACACTGCTGAGGGTGTATAACCTGCCCTTTAGTCCCCTAGGTAGAGAAAGGAGCACAACTGCTATATACTATTCTTCATACAGCAGTTCCCTCTAGCATTTTCTAGCAGTTAAAAATCCCAGGAACTATAACAGCATACATTTTAGAACTTTTAGAACAATTTTTTTAAAAACCTTTAATACGGGAACCTTGTGAGGGGTTTTAAAAAAGGGACCAGCAGGTGCCAGTGCCCCTGTAGAGCAGGTCTTGCCCCTGGTTATACCCCCCTCTATCATACACTGAAAAAAAATGTAATCTTAGTAAATTAATTGTTCTTCAATTAAATGTATTTTCCATTGATTTAAGCAGGAATACAGATTGCCTTTGGAATAAAATAATGAAAAAATAACAAATCGGTTGTATTATTTTAAGTGCATCATATCTTATCATGAGATACGATGCATCATATATTATAGGAGGAAAAATACAAATACCTTTGAGAGATTGTTTTTTCACCTGCTCGAATTAAGGTCAAATACACATTCTTACTTATTTAAATCTGTTACTGCAGTTTAATATCTATTAGAACGGTTAGTTCAGGGGTCTGCAACCTAAAATACTAAAGAATGTGCTCTTGCTTTGTTTTTCTTTATCTATATTTACATTTTTTGTGCTATTATTTTTTTCTGTATCCTGGTGGAAAATAAAACACTGCCTCGCTTGGTAAACTTCTTTCAGAACCACCACTGAGTTCCCTATCTAAACAGGGTAAGTCCTTCTGCAGGCCTATATCTGCTCTGGCAGTCATGTGACTCACCTTTGACCCTTTTAGGGGGCTCTGAAGGATTTCTGGATTTTCTGCAGACCCTGTTTTGCATTCTTGCCCTTGATTTGACAACCATTGTTCAACCACATCCCCTGGATTGGTCATGTCACCCATGGAGTCTGAAAAAAACAAACAAACAAAACTACATTACTGGAATATAGAAACAGCCATGCCCTGTTCTACAACCCATGTCATTTGTTTTTTACCATCATGTCGCTCCTCTACTTTTAAAGTTTCAGGACTCTGATCGGCGTCACTCCCCACAGACTGGTCGCTGTGTTGTGAGTCCCCTCCGTGTTTGCCCTCAGTCCACTGCAGCTGCAGCCTCAGAGACTCCACCTGCTGTTTGCTGCGCTTCACCTCCACCATGAAGACATCCTCCACCAGCCTGCTCACCTCAAACATCGCCGTTTTCAACAGAGCCTCCATCACATCAGAGAGCTGGCTCTGAAAGGTGACAATGAGGCTGTCCAGGTCCGACATGATCCACTGCACCTATAACCGTCCGCCCCTTAGTGAACTCAACACTTTCACAACTGTTTGGGGAAAATCTTCAAAGTGCCGCCAGTTTGGATCAGCGACTTTCTCTTTAGCGATACATCCATTTATAATAATCACCTGTCAGCAGTATTGTAACAACAAAGGTTATAAAAGGCTTATTGCTTACATGAGATGTCAACCTCGTGATGTTAGCATGCCGCCTAGCATCGGTAGCTAAATCTCTTCAACTGAACAGCGGTAAACCATGGAGCGCGTGCTCTGAACGCAACCAATCACAATTAATCAGATCATCGATATAAATTAACAGATATTGTGATAAAGTGGCTCAACCTAAACTTGTTTTTGTTTTGAATTATTGGTAATTAACATCTACTTTGTGGAGCTTCCTTTTTTTGCTAATGACATCATGAATGACGCAGTACGGTGGCCCCAACGGCCAGAAAATAAAGCTTTTGGTATTCTTTTTCTTTGCAATAATAATCTTGAATACGAATTTAAATGTGTTTTATGGATTGAAATAAAAATAAATATATAGTCCAGTTTATAACAGGATTACATGGTGGGTTTGGTTGTTGTTGTTTTTTACTTGACCTCTTCTTAAATGTCTTAAATCTTTTTTCAGTTTTTGAACTTTCATATTAAGTGATAAAACAACAAAAGGCAACTGATTCTTTGAATGTTAAGAACCTAATTTTGCTGTTATTTCCAGGGTCCCAGCCTTCCATATAAACAAAAACCTACTCATTTTAGGACTGAAACTGTTAATATAATTTATCTTGAGTGATTTTTAAAATAATAACCAACTAAATTAATAATCAAATATTTGGTAGCTGCAGTGTGCTCCAGTGGACTTTGAAACATTATATTTGATAAAACCAATTGAGTATGCATTGTTTCATTTATTTTCTTTGGTGCCCCTGATTACTTGATTGTTTTTTGTTGACGTTTGTTTTATTTATATTTCTTTGTTTTGTTTTGTGGTTGTTGTTTATTATGCCAGACTTGAATGTTTCTGTGCACTATCAGTGCGTCCCTGTTGTTTCTGCTTTGCAAGAAAAAGTGTAATTAAAAAAAAAGAAGGAAAAGCAAGAGCAGTTATTAATTAGGCAAAACCTGTTAAAAAAAATTATGAATAAACTTTTTATTATAAAAATCCTTTATTAATGCAAGGTGTACAGTGCAACTGCAAACCTACTTAGACAGGACCATCTACCTTAAACGGACGGCTTGGAAAAGGAGACGAGAAACAGCTAAGGAGCTGCAGGAGCAGCACAGACCAACACAGTTGAGAGAATCTGTCAACAGGAAAAATATTTTGTACTCTAAAAATTTGACCTTTAAAGGAGAGTAGCAGAAGTTACTGAAATAACCCTGTATAATTTCCAATTAGCATTTTGAAGGAGCACATTCAACATTCTGTGGGCGCAGGTAGCCAAAGTTCTGGTTTCTGTAGTTTAGATAGAACACCTTAAGTCCTTCTCAAATAGTGGTGCATGAGTGCCCCCTGGTGGTTTAAAATTATTGGATCTTTTGTTTGTAAAAAAAAAAAAAAAATTTTTAAAGTGTGTTTGTCTGATTTTGCATGATTTTACTTTATTTCCATTTATTTTAACTTTGTCCTGAAGCTTTACTCTGAAGCTCACCACACTATACAGCAACAGTTGGCAGACAAACAATGTTGGACTGCTGGATGGAGAGTAAGTCCAAAGTCCAAAGTAAGCACGCCTGAAAAGTTTAGCTCTTTGTGTTGACTTTTACAACAACGTCTATGTTAAAGAAAAGCATCTGATCCCTCAGCCTCACTAAATGTAAACACATAATAGGCTAGTGGCAAAAGATGAGCTGTCATCTTTTAAGCCAGACATTATAAATATATGGTCACCATCATGCCACCCATCTTCTTAGCTAATGATGAATAAAATATTCCTTTCTAATACATATTGAGCTGATACTATTGTTCTAATAGCTGGCAAAGACTCAATTCAAGTGCAGTTCTTATTACTACAATTACTAATATTTGTTCACTGAAGTCGTTTTCCACAGAGCAGTTCAGATTATTATGTGTAGTGCATACCGGTATGTTAAGGCCTTTTGTTCTTGTTTTTTTTCCGCTTGCAAATACTTCTATGCACAATATATACCTTAACATAAACAACATTCAAACAATATATAATAAAAGGCTTTGTCAAACATTTTTTGGGGGATGGCAGAATAGGTATAGTGAAGAAATGTATCATTCAACATTATAATGGTACTTTAAGATCCAACTTAGGTGTGAAGTGATATTCAGGTTGGGTTTGAGAACCCCTGACCTAGAGTTACAACAACACCATGGCTGCATTTGCAGACTATATAAAGACAAACAAAGCACCAATAGTTGTTGTCCTTCCCAGAGAGACGCAGTTCAAATTACAGAAATACGAAGAGGAAATAAAACTTTCTCAATAAAAAATTAAACATGGTGGCAGCATGAAAGAGACAATACTAGCATGGGAAAGGATTGCTGACTACGTAAACGCTCAAGTTACATCTCAGGGACTTAAAAAAAAAAAAAACTGCATCCACTCCCTGTACTGCATGTTAATCGTGTTTCCCACTGGAGTGAAGAGGGCTTGGGAGCTGATAAAAGTAAAAAAAAAAAAAGTTTAATCTGGATAGTTGGACATTTTAATTCCATAATATATGGGCTATAAAAAAGGTAGAAGCTGATTCCACAATTGCATAATATTAATACAGGAAATGGTTTGAGTGAAATCAGCCTATTTTTGAGATGTCAAACCTCAGTGGGACAAATGTAAAATCTGCTCTGCTTTTAAAATGGTGAAAGCCCTCAAATTCTGTCCTAAATCTAAAGCAATACCTTAATGTCTTTTCCAATGAAATGAAGCTTCATACCATTGCTGTTTCAGTCACATATAGACGCTTTTTTCTACATGGTCAATGTTCAGTTTCATAATAGGAGCCTGCTTATTATTATTTTTATTTACCTGGTGTTTTACTATTAATCCCCCATGCAGCATCAGTGGAACATTTCCCATTCTCACTTATACCGTTACATGAAAAAGAATATATATATATATATATACATATATGCCAACCTCTATATTTAACAGCCCAGTTTTCATAATGTGGTGAAGAAGACATTTTACAGAAATCCAGGTAATGACTCTTAAATCCTTACGTGTACAGCCAAGGGGCCAACACATGGTACTAGGACCTGGCATATAAAGGCCAGTCTGCCCCATGATAACCTGTATCAATCACATTTTCATAGTGATCCACAGGATCTTTTCACAATTTGCGTTTAGATTTTTATTTTCTTACTTTTTTTTTTGTTAGCTTCCTATAACAATTATACAAGAAACAAGTTAATGCCAGGGTTATATAAGGACATTACAGAGGAGAAAACAAACACAGAATAGTGAAAGACTGGTATGTCAAAAAGGAGGAAAAAGAAAACAAAATTAATAAATTGAAAACTGTCAAGAACATCTTTTGTTTAAACTGCTTTCTGTTTTTCAAGTTCCTTTATTTTGATGATGGGTTTTTGCAAGTTTTTATCTCCCCTCTGAATTAAATTAGGCCTTCAATGAAAGGACACAATTATTTTTTGAACAGCTGATTGGTTGCTGAATGGAGCATTTTCAAGAGTTCAGATCAATCCTGAAAGCTAGCCTGCTCCGGAGCAGGCTTGCTGTTCAGAGTACGTTTCCATTGTGACTAGCCTTGCTAAGAATTAATCCAGCATCATGGTACCGGAAAGTCAGGGTTAAACCTGAAACCTTGATTCGCTAACCCGGCAATTCTGCTTATAGGCATCTGCACTTCATGCAGTTTTATTTGTAATCATCTCTAGATACAGATATCCATTTCCTTCCTCTGCACAATTATGCCCCTTTTTGTTTTTGGTACCTTGTTTATGAAATTGTTATAAAATTTATCAAGGTCTTTAGTTCTGTCACAAAATGTAAAAAAAAATAGTGACAGATAATGTTACTTCAAACCGTGTATTCTGCTGGACTGATGTAGAAGCTGAATTTTTGGTCTTTTTATGCAAAATGTCACCTGAGATGAGTATTAAGTTCCACATAATACATCAAAGTCGAAAATATACATTTGCAAAGAAAGGTCAGGTTCAGTTAATCCTGATATGAAAACCCCAGCACACCTTTAAGTCATTTTTGATTGAAAACAACTAGTAGATCACCAAAAACGGCTAATCAGAAATATGTACATCTATAGCACATAAATTAAGCTTACCTAAATCAAATAATTAAAACTGTTCATCCTTCAGTTTTGCTGTCTGTACCACTGACTATTTGATGACTTTATCCTAAATTTTACAAAACAGACCCCTTATTTTGCAGAATTTTTAAAGGCTAGAAGCTATCAAAGTAACTTTGATTCCTTGCAATGAGCAAATAATCTAAATATCCCTTAAATATGTTGAACCATAACAGTAGTAAAAGCCATTAGGTTCAGAAAACACATCTGATGAGATAATAAATCTGTTGGATAAAGAAAACAGTTGCAACAAACTGATATTAACTGTAGAGAAAGCTTTGCATCATTGCCTGGTATATCTCAGTTTGTTTATTCGAATTTGGAAGGAAGAAGATGAGATTAACCACATAATAACATTAAAAGCCAATTTTATTTAGATCCTGTGAAGAAATCAAACACATTTAATCAAATACAGTGAATTAAACCTACAAAGTATGCAGATGCAATAAAGCAGATGACAATAATTTAATAACACGTAGATTTGATCAAATCTTTGTTTTCTTAATACCAAAAATATTTACATTTTTTAAATAACTGCATCAAATGTAGGCAATCAATCAAGTTAGATACTTATTCCTATCAATGTTCACTTGATACAAAGGTTATAAAAAGCCCCATTAAATAACACACTCTTTAGTCCTACAGATCTGTCACATGCTTGCGCTGATGGGACTTCAGGTGATCCAGGCGTTTGAAGCTGAGCCCACAGACTGCGCAGCAGTAGGGTCTTTCCCCTGTGTGGGTGCGCTGGTGGACCTTCAGAATATCCGCCCTGGTGAAGCTTTTGTCACACATGCTGCACCTGTGAGGTTTTTCCTGCGTGTGAATCCTTTGGTGCAGCTTCAGGTTCCACAGACGGCTGAACTTGTTCCCACAAACAGCACAGCAATAAGGTTTGTTGCCGTTTTGGCCACATTTATGTGCTTTTAAGTTTGCGATGGAAGGGAATCCTTTTCCACAGTGGCTGCAGAGATGGAGGCCCTGCTCCAGGTGGATCCTCTGATGGACTTTCAGATTACAGGCTTGAGTGAATGTCTTTCCACACTGGTTGCAGACATAGGGGGACCCTTGCGCTGTACCTTTATGGGACTGTTTGTGGGGCTTAAAAGAAGCAGAATTGGGTAAGGATGTAAAACAATGGCTGATGGTGCTGTTTCTTGCTTCATTATCTCCATTTTGATGCTGCAGCCTTTGTTCTAATTGGACTGTATCACTGTATGCAGATGAGAGTTCATATGTAGCAGTGGGGAAATTAATTCCCTGGCCTCGGAAACTGACTCTGCTCCCCATATCACTGGATACCTGATCTGTGTATCGGACGTTTGGTTCCTGAAGATATCCTTCTTCATCTATAAGCAGGCAGCTTAACTCCCCACTCACATCATTGTTTGTCCTAACAGGGGAACTCTCCTCAGGCCCCGTGTTCGGTGGAGACCCAGCCGTGTAACATTGATGCTCAGCTTCTTCAGGGAGTTTCCTGTTATAATGATCCACATAACTAAGGTCATCAGGAAGCTGGGTTGGAGAACCTTGTAGCCCATCAAAGTTACCCATTTCTCCATATCCAGATTTGCCAAAGCTACCCAACTCGTTCAAGACAAACCTGTTCTGGAAATTAGATCCAGAAATGATCTCTGATTGTCCCTCTTGGCTCAACTGTGGTCTCTGGTCAAAATCTGGGTCCCAGTTTACATGGCAAGCTGCGTTACTCTGCTCACTGAAATGCTTACTTGGTCCTGGTAGATTTGGTGCATCTGTTTCTGAGACAATGAGATAAATGGACTGTCAAGCTGGTGTCAATACCACATTAATAAAGCAACAAAAAGTTAGCCTTTAATCCATTCTATCTTGAATTTTGAATTCATAGGGCCGAAATTATCAAGATCCAATTTTGCGTGCAGTAATTTGCGCTCGCAAACTGGAATTTTGCGCGAGGGGCTAAACCATGGTTTGCGGGTGATTTAATAAGAGTGATTGCGTAACTGGTGGCAGGTGCAAAACTGTTGGAGACGCCCTATTTAAATGATGGTTTTGCGCGTCTTGTGGTTTGCGGCAAAGTAGTTTGTAGTCTGTACAAACTAGTGCATTAAGAAATTTAAATCTTACAGTGACCCCCCCCAAAAAAAAAAAAAAAAAAAAAAAAAAAAAAAAAATTAGGGATTACCACCTTATATATATATATATATATATATATATATATATATATATATAAAGAAAAAACTTTGGTAACCTTTAATCCCTAAGGTGGTATGTGGCTGAATTTCTACTTCACTGCAGTAAAAAAAAAAAAACAGGTGTTTTGTATTGGCCTGTAGAAAAATGCACATACCAAATGGCTCACAAGAACTGACTGTGGATGAGATTACTGCGCGTATGATCCCTGCAGCATTGGCATGTTGCTCCACAGGCGCAGGGGGAGAACCCCGACCCCGTCGGACAGCACTTCTGAAAAACGAGATTGGGAGATCCCAGCTCTCGCTGCAACCGTACGCTGGAATGACCCAGATGCAAAAAAGTGCAATGTTGCAAGGAGTTTTGTGATATCTGGTATTGCGTGGATCCTCCTTGTGGCTGGCTCCAAATCCATTCGGAGTTCCCCCAACAGCTCCAAAATGGCAATGCTGGATAAACGATATGTTTTGATGATCGTTTCCTCCTTCATTGCAAAAATATTCACACGGAGTGAAAAAATGCGTTCTCTGCGTCTCCTTGCTTCATTTCGATGTCTCCTTCTTGCGACAATAGCCATGTGTGCGCAATTACGCATACGGACCATTTGCACCTTCTTTTGAAACGTGTTAAATATAGAGTCAGATACCGTTAGCAAAATTGCTTTCAGGTTTGATAAATCACTTTGCGAGTGCTAAATTAATATATTTACATGTTCTCCTCCCACAAGACGCACTTTAGCGTGTAAACGCCCCATATTGCATATTCATTGCAGAAAAAGTACTAAATGGATCAGAGGCGCTATTTAGCACGTTTTAAAGACCAAATCCTTTTAGCACGCTGTTGATAGATCAGTTTGTACATTTTTTAGCGTGCGCAGTGAAATAGCTCACGTTTTTATACACGCAAACCTTTGATAGATCCGGCCCCAAATCCTTTTAGCACGCTGTTGATAGATCAGTTTGTACATTTTTTAGCGTGCGCAGTGAAATAGCTCACGTTTTTATACACGCAAACCTTTGATAGATCCGGCCCATAGTCTTTAAAACAGGTTTCTCTCAACACGTTTAGTCTTTAAAGGAATGATGAATACCCTTTCATTTCATTACCAATTGGCTTAAAAAAAAACACTGACCTTCTTTGCTGACACCCCATCCATGTGATTCGTCGTCCTGTGGTGGTTCGCTCGGAGGCGTTTCCTCTTTAAGTTGTCGGTTACATGTATTCTCTTGTACATCTTCACTCTGCAAAATAAGCAAGATCACAAAAAATTTACATTAATGGTCCTTCTTTTGTAATTTGCCAGAAGTTTGCCACCATTTCAAAATGTTTTCAAATGAACCCTTTTAAACTGTATCAAATGTACATATTTTGAAGTTTCTTTTACAATTTGTTTAGATGTATTTATGGATTAAGACAGAAACTACTACTATAAAATGGATTTTTTTTATTGTATGATGCACTGCTTTGTTGAAAGCCTCTCCAAGATGAGAACTGCATGCATTTCTCTCATAAGCGCATGATAATATGCACATATAGACAAATATGGCTACCTAACTCAAAATATTCCTATTTAACCAGATGTTTTTTACCTTTCTAAGATGTGTTTCATTTTTCTCTCCTAATTGGTGTGTTTTCTGTCTACCTATATGTTTGCCAATATCATGCCTGAATTTCCCCAGCATGTGAAATAAAAGGTATTTCCAAGCAAATAAGATATTTCGTTATATACCCAGTCCCTCCCCTTTTCACTCAGAGGAAGCAGACTTTAAAGCAGCTCGCTAAATCACATCAAACGTTGCCTTTTATCTATGGTAGAATGTTAGGATTTCACTGTGATGAGAAGTTAAATTCTCTTACATGTACCGTATTTTCACGACCATAAGGCGCACCGGACTAAAAGGCGCAGTCTCAGTTATGTGTGCCATTTCTGTATTTAACACACACATAAGGCGCACCGGACTATAGGGCGCGTTTTTTATATACAGGTACATGTCCTCTCAGGTGGATTTTCCCACTTAAAAACATATTAAAACTACTTTATTCCCACTGATCACAGCAAATAAAGCTGCAAGGTGTATTTATTACAACGTATTATTCAAACCTGGGAACCAGCCGTGAGAGACACATCGCTGATGACACAGGGCTGTGATTACTCCTCTGATACAGTTTATTGACGCATAAATTACCTTAAAACATAGGCAGGATAATAATCTGGATGAACTGACTGCAATGATTAAATTTTCAGGTGGACTTTCTCACTCAAAAAGATTTAGATTATTTAGATGAAAAAACACCTGCCGAGGTGAGTCCTGATGCGCCGCGGCCCAGAGGCAGCTGTTGAATTAAGTTTTCAGGTAGAAAAATAGAGCGGGAGCAAAACTGAGTATGATTGTGCTTTATTCAAGTATTTATTACAGAGTATTAATCAAACCCCTCAAAGTCCTCATCCTCTGTTTCTGAATTAAACAGCTGCGCTAAATCCGACATGCCAGTTTCCCCTTCTTCTTCGTTTATTGATGCATAAATTAACTTAAAACATAGGCAGGATAATAATCTGGATGAACTGACTGCAATGATTAAATTTTCAGGTGGACTTTCTCACTTAAAAAGATTTAGATTAGCCTATTTAGATGAAAAAACACCTGCCGAGGTGAGCCCTGATGCGCCGCGGCCCAGAGGCTGCTGTTGAATTAAGTTTTCAGGTAGAAAAATAGAGCGGGAGCAAAACTGAGTATGATTGTGCTTTATTCATGTATTTATTACAAAGTATTAATCAAACCCCTCAAAGTCCTCATCCTCTGTTTCTGAATTAAACAGCTGCGCTAAATCCGACATGCCAGTTTCCCCTTCTTCTTCGCTGTCAGAGTCACTTTCCGTGCCGGGCGGCTCCTTGGAAATGATGCCGGCTTTTGCGAAAGCCTCTTTAGGCAAAGTCTTTCTTTTAAAAATCACCATAGGCGGCAGTTTCTGTCCATTTGCGTGGCAGCCAAGCACAACAGTAAACGACGCCTTTTCATACCCCGTCGTGTGTATCGCTACAGTGCTGGTCCCCTTCTTCTCCACCGTGTGATTCACCGGGATGTCGAAAGTGAGCGGCACCTCGTCCATGTTGGTGATGTGGCTTGGCGGGATGACTTTGTCAGCGATGTGTTTGCTGCAGAAGGAGTGGAAGCTCACCAGCTTTTCATCATAATCCGCCGGACATCGCTGAGCAACTGTAGTCCTGGTCCGGATGGAAAAATTGCACCGTTTCATAAAACGGAAGCACCACGATGGACCTCCTTTAAAATTTTAAATTTTCATTTCTTCCGCCAGCTTTACTGCTTTTAGTCGAACAGTGACCGTTGAAACGCTGGCCCCACTCGTTCTATGCTCCACGATCCACCGCTCGAGTCTTTCCTCCAACTCGGGCCACCTCGCCTTATGTCCGCGGAAACTCTTCACCAGTCGGAGTTTGTTATCCAGCTTCCTCCACTTGCGAACCATCGATTCATTTATATTGAATTCTCTCGCAGCTGCTCGATTTCCATGTTCCTCTGCGTAGCTGATAGCCTTCAGTTTAAACTGGGCTTCATAGGCGTGTCTCTTTGCCAATTTCAGGGTTGTTAAGACAACAATGTTCTGCATAAAGCACATACCTGTTCTTTTATACACAAGCCACGCCCACACTTCCCCCTTTAAGGTTCTCACATACTCATGGTGGTCTCAACAACGTCCGCAGATAGGGCGCACCCCACATTTTGAGGGGAAAAAAAAGACGTTTAGGTGCGCCTTATAGTCGTGAAAATACGGTAGTAGAATGAAGGAATAATGTGAAATCAATGAAGCCGAGATTGCATAACTTTTTTCCTGCCAGTCTGATTCAACTTTAAGAACTGGGAGCTCATATCGTCTGATTTGTTTTTTGTAAATTCTCATTGAAATATTGCAAAATGAGACTTCATTTGCTAATAAATTATTTCTTAAATCATGTTGCAAGTCTGACTGATCCTTCCCACCTACCAAAATAGTAGATACTGCAAACTTGTTCCCAAGACCTATGCATGATCCCCAGCTGCAAGCACACACACCAATCCCTCAGACTTGTAATCCATCATCATGACATTTTAGTGATTTTTTTAAAACAAAGTTGGAATCTCAATGGTCCTGTTGTGAATAGTGATTTATATCTCAGAAATGCAGTTTTAATCAGGAACGTGTTTGAAACAACTAAGGTGGAGGTATATTTGATTTGTAATATAATCCTAATTTTAAAGCAACACTTCATACAGTTTAGGCTCCAACTAGAATTTTGTATATTAAAGTATAAAAAATATGATTAAGTAAATAAATAAAAATGTATTTTTATAGCACATTTCAGCTGCAATGCAATTCAAAGTGCTTCACATGACGGCTAGGAAATGAATCATATTTGCAATATAGCAAATAGATTACCTAAGCACACCCATCATGATTCAACAGACCAATCACAGAGCCCATGAACAACAAAAGGCCCCAACAATCCAGAAGAACCAATGTATAAACGGACCTCCATGCTGCCTAAATACATCAGCGCTCCAACTACAGACTGTTCTGGTGCGAGCCGACAGAATTGACAAAGACTCCTGGATAGTTGGCCAAAGCATGAGGGTCCATCTTCCTGCACATTCCAGGTCAGATGCAATTAAATAGTGTTAGGATAATTACACCATGGTATGGGCTGCCTGATACACGTCAGAACTGATCTTTTAATCTAATTATGGCAGTTCCTCTGTGTGGATATACAGTTATAATCTTCATTCTGTATGTGGCAAAGATTTGGAAATGGAATGAGAGCGGTGTCCTTCAGCTAAGAACGAAGTGTAATATTTAAATAAGGCTGGTGCCATGGAAGTCTACTCATCTGCTAACATGTATGATGTAAAATATGAAAATCTGGCAGAATGGAGATGTATAAAATGCCTCTTTAACTGTTAATCTGGGTCACTTCCTGATAGGTCAGACCGGACAGGAACAGCTGCCTTCTGTATATTCTAAGCAATTTCTCTGATCTGAGTAAGATTACAATTTCTATCAGAATCTGTTGTCATGTCTCCTGATTATTTAAAACACATAAGTTATAAAGTAATACTTAAAGAATTTGTCTTCTTTTCCCTCATTTCAGGGAAAAGAAGCGGAGAGATAGAGCATCAGGGTGCATACATAGAACCTTTAACAATAGCTTCCCTTTGTTCTTCTGGATTTTTGTGCCTTTTGTTGTGCATGCGCTCTGATTGGTCTTATGAATCATAATTTGTTTTTGAACTGAATTAAGTGGTTAATAGCTCTTCATCCTTTTCCAAATAGGAAGCTACAGATTTCAGCTTCAGGCACACAACTCCATTAGATTTAAATTATGTACTTACATCATTTATAATAGTTGTCAGTTCTATTATTATTTTTTTTTTATTATTTGGATTTTTTTTTTCTATTATTATTTTTAGCTGTTTATCCCAGTCAGCTTATAGTCAGTGGGGAAGCTGTTCAGTGGGAACACTCAGGGGATGTGGGGTGTTCTGAGGTTGAATGCTGTCCTTAAATCTGCAAGGGGCTCCAAGGGGGAGATAACAACTGACTGACTGATGAGACTGACCATCTAAAGCTCTGAAGCTTAAAAGCAATCTTAACATTATATGGCAGGCAAAGTTCTGTTTGAGAAAGTCAAACATTTCTAAGAGGAGTTCTGGACTACAATGAAGACCAGTCAGCTGTTCCTTTTGAGATGAGCAAACAGGCCGTTAAAATAGTCTGTGTGGAGAAACGCATAAATAATCTAAAATATCTGTTGTTTCTTGGTTAATGAGATCAAATTTACGTTTTTGAATCTTTAATTACAAACAAACTGTCAGACTGAGTTTGGACCATATATGAGTTCTAACCATTAATACCAATGCAATTTAACCCAATCGTCATACCTGCAGACAGAACCACAGTTAAAGGAATCATTTAAACTTTCAATACAAGCATTTTGATTACTTAAAGACCCATAGAAGGCTTTAATTCAAATACTCCTCCTTAGCCTTTAACAACATCCAGCCACACATCTAATGTTAAAAACCGGTCTTTGTAATCTTGATATCGACATGCTGTGTTGTTTTTAAAGAACCTCTCATATTTTGCTTCTCCACTTCAAAGTTTTCTGTCTCCAGTTGACTGCCAGAGCCACCACCCTGATGGGCATTTCCTGAATTTCCCTCATGACACATTTAACGTCCGTTTGCTGCAGGATGGAAAAATGAGTAATGGGAAGTTATGTGGGATGTGCAACAGTCACTCCTTTCAGCCTACTGTTCAGATGACAGGGAAAATATATTAAGAGGCTCAACACCCTTCACTCAACTATGGAGATGGTAGATTTTTTTAAGTCAGTGGTCCCCAAGCCTGGTCCTCAGGGACCACTGCACTGCATATTAAAAAAAATCTGTGTCCAGCACACCTCATTCAAATTAGGTCTCAAAAGCCTATGTTGAAGCCAAAAGGGTCTTCAACGTTTTCCAGGCCAAGGACCCCGAACTGATGGTGAGATGGAGCGGGGGATCCCCGTATTATATATATGGTATGAAATAGTGTTCTATCAAACTGATCCTATAGTCACTCTATTACAAATGGAGTAATGTAACTAAAGTAATCCCTCCCTGGGATTATTAAAGTATTTCTGATTCCTGGTTGATGGGACAGGTGTTGTGAATGAAATGGTGCCCAGCCTAAAAGAGCTCCTGTGTGTCACTGAATGTGTGCATTGATGACTGAAAGACATCTTCTGCCTCCATTTATCTGTTTACTACAGTGTGTTGAATTCATGTTCATTTGGATTTAAAGACATTTCAATTAGTGGAAAAAAATGCAGGGGGGATATAAAAAAAACATCTAATCAACCAAAACTTTCACGACCCCCATGCAGTACTGTCGCGGACCCCCTAGGGGTCGCGGACCCCCTGTTGAAGACCTCTGCTGTAGATCATTCATTCTTTTTTGGTGTGACGCAACAAGTTAAGACCTAAAGCGAGCAGGACAGATGTCTCTGAGGAACAGGGTTGAAATATGGTGACTGACCGAAAGTCACATGATCACCATAACACTGCCAACTGCAAAAGATCTCTTTTCACTGAACGTCTTTCCTGCAGCAGCTGAAAATGTTTAACACTGTAAAGAGAGAAAGGATTTTATTCTGAAGATCTTCATATTAGACAGTTAGCCAGATTTTATTCCAACATTTCTGTACCAAACAAAACTGCTTTCTTCAAAAGTTAGAATGGAGCTGTTATGTCATACAATGATGGACAAGTTTAGGTGGACGATGAGCTGCCAATAACCACAATAAAGGGTTGCTATACGCATTAAATTACATTTGCAAGCTTGTTAGTTTTCCTTGAGTCTCCTCCTCATTTTATAATAGAGACACAAAGACAGAGGTTGACGCCACAGCTGCAGGGTGGAAGCACTTCTCAAGCTGAATGATCGTGATGTATGTCACATTTGTTATCAACCAGAAGTGATTAAACTTAGCAATACAAACAAACTTGCCTCTACTCCTACTATATAACACTGTCCTGCAGGTTTGGGGTTTTCCCAGCTGCAATAGCAGAGGTAATAACTTCTGCTGTGAAAAAAAACAATACAACCAAAGGGTTCATCTCGGTCTTACTATGGATGGAGTGTTCAATTTAAAAAAAACAAAAGACAAAAAGGGCAGCACTCAATGGAACACACTCCCAGATATTGTACTTCACTTGCCCTTTAAAAGCCGGCAATTCAAAAAATGTTGCAATCAGTTGACACCCAACGCCTGCTCTCGTTGCAATGGAGCGCTTAGTTAAGTTAGTTTGCACTTGTTTATAACACTGGTTGTTTTGCTTGTTATGACGTAAATTGAGACATTATAATTACTTTCATTTATTGTTTCAGATATGTTTTATTTATTGTTTTTAGTTGTTTTTGTTTTACTTAAGATATTTAAAATGATTCCAGTTCCTGAATTAAATATTCTTCAGAAATGAAAGTGTATTTTTTTCTGATGGGTTGTAACAACATCAATAATATATTTTATCTGCAATAATTTCTGGGACACTTTACTGTTTATTCATTGCAAAATGTGTTACCATGACAGATCTACTACAGTGCTGGATCATCTTCTTCTTTTTAAAGAATTTATCTACTTTCTTTTAGAAGTAGAACCAGTTCATTCCCTCTAGAACCAGAACCAAGAGACTAATTCTTGTCCAGCGATAATATGCATTCTTAGCGATCCAACCAAGTAGAGCCAGAATTAAAAACAAGTTTGTATGCATTAAGAAGATTTAAATCTCACCACCATCTGTGTTTGGTTGGCGGTCTGAATATAACCTAAATTTCTCTTGATGTTTGGTTTATTTTTATGTTGATCCGACCTGTTTAACAAACACAGTAAACTGATCCATGTAAGCATAAAACCTCAATTATTTTGTAATATTAGGGCATTTTTACAAAGCACTGAACGTATAGACATTTTAATTTTTTCTGTCTTGTTTTAATTTTTCCTTGCTTAAATGTTTAGTGGAGGATGTTCTTTTTCCAGGTGGATCATCAAAATAAGTGGTCCTCATAATTGTCAATCATACTTGTGATATACTTACTTGAGGTTGTCCTGAGTCTGACAAAGTGAATAATTGCAAATCTTCTTTTGGAAAGTAAGCTTGTCTGAGCGATGCAAACAGCAGCTTTTAAACAAAGCGTGCATGAGGAGAAATGGGTTCTTGCATGCTCTTGCACACGTTTAATAAGCGGTCCCTCTCGGGAGCGGATATAGCGTGGTGCAGAGGTAAGGAGGGTGGGTCTTTTCAAACATTTGCAAAAATCCTCCACTATACCTTTAATCTGGACTTTATCTACACGCTTCAAACCTAATTTCCCTATTGAAAAATAATAAAAACTCTTATTATGGACTCCCCATCTGCACCTCAAACTCCAACATTTTCCTAATTTCTGTGATATTCCCCCATAATGCCTAAATTATAGCTTGAAAATGGTAAAAACTTGGCAGAAACAAAAACAACAATGTTCATTTTGAAAAAAAATAAATAAAATTAACCCACCTGGACACCCCTGTCAGTCACTTGCGTTTCCTCGTCGCCGTTTTCACTGGATCCTTCTCCAGCAGTGTCCTGGTAAACCTGCTGTTCTTCTTGTGACACACATTCCTGTTTCAGGCTTTTGTCTGAGGGGTAAATAGAAAAGATACGTCTCACTATATGCACAAAGGATCAAACAGCTTCGAGGCTGGTTGTCTAATTAAAAGTTATTTTAACACTTTAAAATCAAGTATTAATCTTAGTCTTTTGCATATCTTTGACTTGGGCTTGCATTCCCACATGAGGCTTACTGAAAACACAGAGCCACAGACACAGTGCTACCACATGGTAACATCTGAGCTATAACCCCTCTATGAGCCAAAATTACGCTAATAATATCTGAACAATTAGTTTTGCATAGCTTTTTGAAAATGCAAGTTCAGCTTTCTCAAGCAGGGTTTTTTTTTATAGGCAGCACAAGTACAGGTGAAAAAGTGTCAGTCTGGGTGTTGTGAATGCCTTTGCAACCTAAAATTCTACCTCACCTACATCCAAAGCCAATCTTATACCAAAACAGCATCACAAGCTATTTAATAAGAGCTTATGTTTTAAAGATTAATACTAACAGAAATAAGAAAAAAAGTTGAATGCGTTACATTATTAAATTAAATCCGTTTATTTACATAGCAATGCTTCCTGAAACGCCATATAAAGGCACTTTGTGGACATAATTCTATGAAAGCATACAAACAGACTGGTTTAAAGGTTTCTATCCAAGGAGACCTGTAGATTGCATCAAGTCATTGACTTGCAGAATTCGCTCTTCCTGGATGAGCGTAGAGCTGCAGTAGAGGTTTTCTTGCAGGTGTGGTTGACTTTGCAGCAATTCCTCAAACCGAGAATGTATTCAGAAACAGTGGGAAGAAAAAACTTAACAGGAGGAAACCTCCAGCAGAACCAGGCTTAGTGTGAATATATGAGATGGAAGGTGATGGAAAAGGCTGTTGTCCTAATCTGAGGCCTGGGTTTCTCTCATGGAGATTGCTGATGAAGATTCTCAGTCATCCAGGTCATAGACACTCCAAAAAAAAGGTTACAAAACAATCCACTGGACCTTTTTTTTTCCAAGTTTGAAGATGCTTCGCTCCCATCCAGGAAGCTTTTTAATTTAAAAGTCAAAGCCTTGTTTTGGCTTAGACTTTTATCGCTCCATTGTAGGTTTTTGAAAGCTGCACTCTGAGTCTACCTCCTCTGTTTAAGGTTGGTTATTCTTAACATAGATAGCTTTCTTTACGCCCCTCTCAAACCATCTGTCTTCGGAGGTTTCACAAATCCGACATCTGATTTTAATTCTTCTACAAGTAGTTTAGAATAATCTAGTCCAGGTTTGATATGTGTAGGTGTTGTAGTATTTTAATTAGAATGGATTAAAGATGCTGAAGGTAGGAGGAAATGAAGTGGAATCGCCCTTTACCTATTTCTCCTATCAGAAGCCAGTCAGCACTAAATGAATAGCAGATGGAGGACACCACCCACCTGTCACTGTGGATGGGAGCCCTCCGGTTAGCCTCGCTCTCCCGCAGTCCACGCATATCTCCTTCCCGCTGTCTTGCCTGTCTTTTCGGCGGCACTCTGCAGACCTCAGCCTCTTCTCCAAGGAATCCACCTGCTCCCTGCACCGCAGAACTTCCTCAATAAAGCTTTCCTCTACCAGCCGGGTGATCTCATAGATGGCGGCCTTAAACACTGTCTCCATCACCCCGGAAAGCTGGGACTGGAAGGACTGGATGGTCTCCGCCATCGCTCATCAAAAGGCTGATCGACTTAAACTTTGAGGCTCACTGGCTAATGCTGCCGGTGTATATAGTAAAAAAAAGTGTTTTATATGTATAGCTAAACGAATAGTCAGGATATATTTTAAGCCTCCGTTAGCCACTTAGCTTTTCCCACTAACTTTAGTTACCACACAACCATCTTCTTAAATATTGATCGCCCTACCCATTTATATCGCCTCCGTTTAAACAATAACATTGATAAACATGTCCCCTTCCAACTAAACTAGATTAACAGTAGTAAGAAAGTATTCATAACCGCAAAGTCTGAGTTTTTCTGAAGGCTTTAGGATTCGGCTTTCCAGCATTGAGACTTCCTGTCTTCTTCTTCTTCTTCTTATGAGATTTTATGGCGGTTGGCAGACTTGTGAATTGTGCATTACCGCCACCAACTGATATGGAGTAAAGCAAGAAAACAGGAAACGATTCACCCCCCCCCCAAAAAAAAAAAAAAAAAAAAAAAAAAAAAACCTGTGTAACTTAAACCAACATAATACTAAATCACATTTGCCCATATAATTTTAATTTACTCTAGGTCATCGTAATTCTGCCAGTTTCTGATGGTCCCATCGGTCCTCCCATCATGCTTCCAACCATCTCCCAGTTCAAATCTTTAATGTCCAGATATTTTTCTGCAGCCTTCACTATTATTTTGATTTTTTCAGTTTTTTTTGTTGTCTGTGCAGTACAATTAATCACTTCTACCATGAAAAGAACAAAATTTGTCTTTTTAACAATTAGTGAGTCTTCATCAATTTTTGGAGATTTCTCTAGAGGTTTGGAATTTGCTGTGTGTTGAACTGTAGGTTTGGGTTTTTCTGACTGAGATGGGATCCTTTTTGCAGCTTCAGCGTAGGTTATTCCGAGCTCAAATTTCATTTTTTTAATTTCCTCAGACCTTTTGCTTGCTTCACAGCCGCGATAAGCAGCAGTATGTTCTCCACCACAATTACAGCATTTTATTTTAGCTTCTTTTCCACATTTTCCGTACTCATGTTCTCCTGCACACCTTCCACACCTCTGTTTCCCTTTACAAACTGCTGCAATGTGACCGAATTTTTGGCATTTGAAACATCTCAATGGTGGAGGATTGTAGATTTTGACATTATAGCTTATGTAACCGATGAATACTTTGCTTGGTAATTGCTCTTCTTCGAATTTAATTAACACCGATAAACTATCAGATCTTTCTCCGTTTCTTGTTGTTTTTAACCGTTTTACTTCTTTTACTTTTGCACCGCTTATGTTTTCCAGAATCTCTTTTTCAGAAATTTTTAGAGGAACTCCTCCAATGACTCCCCTGCTGATCTTTTTGTTCTCCATTAGGCTGCACTGAACTCTTATCCCGTCAATTTTGTTGATACGTATTGCTTTGCCTTGCTGGGCGCTGTCTCTGCAGTTAATTAGCAGGTCTCCACTGTACAGAATTCTGGCACCTCTGACTTCTCCGACAAGTTTATTGATGGTTTTTGTTAAGTGAACCGGATTCCAATTTGTAAAAGAGTCTGCCTGATTAACGACTTTGAATATGACTTTGAATTCATTTTGTTGTGCTGTGGAATGTATGGATTGATCATCACTGGATTGTTCTGAACTAGATTCCCCTTTAACTGATCTCTGTTTTTTCCGCTTTTTCTCATTTTTTGATGTTGCTATCTTCCAACCTTCATTGTCACTATTTCCTTCTTCCATCCCACAAGAATCGCTTCCTGTTTCCTCACTACTCACGGCCCAGGACATCTCTCCACAAGCAGCTTCAAAACACGCGCCATGCACCACCGGCCTGGTTCCGTGGTTGTCTCAAAACTAAATCTTCTTCTTCTTCTCTTCTAGTGGAATGTTGCCTGTCATTAGTCGACCGAGACTTCCTGTCTGAAAATACGGATGCGGAAATAGGACAATCTCTGACACAAATTGGCGGAAGAAAAAATAAACGTTTGCCTTTGCGCCCCCTGGTGGTTTTGCACGAATTAAATATTTGTTTCCAATTTCCCATCGTTTCATTAGAAATTACTGCAGCGTTTATTCATTTGGACATTTATGTGATCTTATTTATTTTTCGTAAACACAGGGACATGGCGTTGGAAGTATTTCATGCCAAATATATATATATATAGATAGATAGATAGATAGTAAGCGCGTCACAATCACACCATTAATAGTATTTATCAGTTGACAAACCTTGAACATCGGTCATGAAGTTCCTAATCCACTTGTTTGTATGACCACTCCAATGAACCCATCTGCTTTTTTATGAGCTTATATTTTAAATTTCAGTAACTAAAATTTTATATATATATATATATATATATATATATATATACACACACACACACACAGGTCTAGATCCACGCTCCACTCCAGTTGGTGGCAGTAGTGCATCCGAGCGTCGTTTTTCAATCGGAATTACACAGGCAGAAGAAGAAATAAGCGGAAGTAGGCATATTTTAGCCACAAATGTGGCATTGCGTGTCACGGTATGGTGCGTTTTTAGTATCGGATGTTTACGTTAACTCGGAAATAATTTGTGACGAGCTCATGTTTTGGTTTATTCCAGTGGTTTAGGTTATACAAAATTGCAGCTTAAGACAAGAGTTCGTGACCGAAAATTCGGTCACATTGCAGCAGTTTGTAAAGGGAAACAGAGGTGTGGAAGGTGTGCAGGAGAACATGAGTACGGAAAATGTGGAAAAGAAGCTAAAATAAAATGCTGTAATTGTGGTGGAGAACATACTGCTGCCTATCGCGGCTGTGAAGCAAGCAAAAGGTCTGAGGAAATTAAAAAAATGAAATTTGAGCTCGGAATAACCTACGCTGAAGCTGCAAAAAGGATCCCATCTCAGTCAGAAAAACCCAAACCTACAGTTCAACACACGGCAAATTCCAAACCTCTAGAGAATCAAAAAATTGATGAAGACTCACTTATTGTTAAAAAGACAAATTTTGTTCTTTTCATGGTAGAAGTAATTAATTGTACTGCACAGACAACAAAAAAAACGGAAAAAATCAAAATAATAGTGAAGGCTGCAGAAAAATATCTGGACATTAAAGATTTGAACTGGGAGATGGTTGGAAGTATGATGGGAGGACCGATGGGACCATCAGAAACTGGCAGAGTTAAGATGACCTAGAGTAAATTAAAAATTATATGGGCAAATGTGATTTAGTATTATGTTGGTTTAAGTTACACAGGTTTTTTTTTTTTTTTTTTTTTTTTTTTTTTTTTTTTTTTTTTTTTTTTTTTTTGGGGGGGGGGGGGGGGGGGGTGAATCGTTTTCTGTTTTCTTGCTTTACTCCATATCAGTTGGTGGCGGTAATGCACAATTCACAAGTCTGCCAACCGCCATAAAACCCCATAAGAAGAAGAAGAAGAAGAGTTCGTGACCGGATATTAGCTCAAGAAAAATCGTCATTTGGTGTGCGTCACACAAAGCAGAGAAGACGTCCTGTCCGTGGGAAGAAGCCATATTGGGTTAGCCGCTAATACCTTGTGTGAAATGCTTTCATTTTGAGAAGTGAGCTCTTCTAGAGATAAACGGGAGAAATTCGGCTTATATCAAGATGTCGGCGGACGACTTTCAGTCAAAGTATGCCTCCGTTATGGAGAGCATGTTAAAGAGCGCCATTGCAGAGACCACCAAACTTTTTGAAAACATGGTGGACGAGCTGAAGGCAGAAATATCTAAAATCAAGAAGGAAAACGAGGACCTGAAAACAAAATGTTTTCAGTATGAGACCGCCAAGGCTGCACCGTCGGCTCAAAGAGGAGGCGAAGCTGGCAATGCCTCTGAGAAATGCGACACGGCTGTTCAGTGTGGTGAGTGGCTATCCGTATTTTATTAAATAGAATTAGAAATAAGCACCGGTTCTCTGTTTTTCTGAGTTGTTGACAGTTTGTAATACACCTTAACAGCATTTAACATTTTTCTGTTCGCTCAGTTAATGGCTGTTGCGTAACATGTAGGCCAGGCTTAGGGCGGGATACGTAAAGCGAGGGAAACCATACTGAGGTCCTCCGGTGTAAGTAACGGTTGGGATCAGCAACGGCTTTGGACTTCTATGGCGGATTACACCAAATATGTCCTCCAAATGTCACACTTTAAATAATTATTTTTGATCTCTTTGCACTAGCGAACCAGATCACAATTATTTGGGAAATGGTGCATTTAACGCTGCTCATTTTCCTTTTAATTTTTTAAGAGTAATATTGCCAGTAATAACACGGCACTGCATAGAGCAGCTTGGTGGACATTCTGTACTCACTCTTACCCAACTAACGTTTAAAGGTTTACTACTAGACCGACCTAGAATCAATACAAATTAAAAAAAAAATGTTATTTGTGCAGAATAGTTATTAATTGCATGATTGAGTTTTCTCTAAATTTTTCTTCTATTCATCTAAGAGCGTGGAACGTTAATTTGATCTGTGTGTATCTGATTGACTCGTGGTGCTTTATTAATTAAAATATTTTGAAGGAATAACTTAGAAGTGTCTATAAAGCTTATTCGGCACAAGTTTAATTAGCGGTACAATTTTAAATATATTTGCTTCTATTCCAGTTCACACAGATTTTGTTTTCTGCATGCTCCCGTCAATACTTCCTCCTTTCTTGTCAAGAACAGACTCTGTACGGACGTTCTTGTGTCACTACCATTGCCGCCAATCCTGCTATGAGAAAGCTTGTTTCCTGTGCTGGAAAAGGAGTAGTTCCAGTTATGTATTGGGGCAAAAGTAATCAAAGGTTGTTTTTTTTGTTAAAGGTCGAAAACCAACTTTTAATCGAGTTAGCCACAGGGTCTATAAATCTGATCTAACAAAGAAAATTGGGATTGAGTAAGGTAGGGCAATTGGATTGGGGCAATCGACGACGGTATCACCCATTCAACAAGCCTTTTCTATTTTTTGGGGGGGGGTCTGCAGGTTTAGAGGCAGCCCATAGGGAAAAAAATGCTGTTTTTTATGGTACACACAGACTCCCTCTAGCTGCAGCTTTTTTTCCCAGTGCCACTCTGCAGCAGCGATTTATCTACTTGAACTTGAGACAGAAAGCAGGAACCAATCCAAGCAAGAGACTTGTCATTAAAAAAATAAAATTATGCAACCAAACAGCCAAAGAGAGGCCTTTTTTGTGTGGGTGTCAGAGGTCACTCTGTCTGTTATGGGTTTGACTTGCACACTAATATGAAATTGCACAACAGCAAAAAAAGTAAAACAGGAAAATTCTCTTTTCAGGTGAAGCTGGCCGCTTTCCATAAAAAAAAAGAAAAAACTGTATTTCATTCTGAACATTCAAATGAAGAACTGGAAAAAAGGAAACTATTCCCACATTTTTTTGAAAAGGAGATGAGCATCGTGGATTTTTGACAAAATGACTGTAGCTATAATTCAATTCAGTTTATTTATATAGTGCCAATTCACATCACAAGTCATCTCAAGGCACTTTACAGTTCAGCCAGATCATACAGTCCAATTGATTCTATAAATGCATCTTCCTACACCACCTGCTTTATTTTGGTATGGCCATGGGCTATACAGCAGCTATAGGTCCTGTATTAAACTGATACTGGAAACGCATTTGGTCAGCCTGCTTTGGGTATAACTAGAATGATTTAAAGGCACATAGTGTAATTTTTGTCCGCTAGACCTGTAACCTTTATGTCTAGCGCCCCTAGTAGCTTTTGTTTGAAGCCTGCTAGCCTTTATTGCCTGTATTTTAGCTTCAGCTAGACATAAAAATATGACTATATACTAGAAGCAAAGTGTTAACTTACCAGTCTAATAATAAATGTAAGAAAAGATCAGTTTTACATCCAGCTTCTTCATTCTGCCTGCACCAACGATTAAACTAAGCTTGACTCTCGTTTTTTCCTCGCTCACGATCCTTTTCACCTTTTCTCTTTTCAGCATCCTCAGAAGATTTCGATTTATTTCCTTGCCTCAGCCGTGGCCAGTGGTCGAGCAGGCGTAGCAAAATATAGTAACGCAAAAGCCTCAACTCTGTGACTATAAAGCAATACATTCTTCCAGGTCACTTGACCTGGCCTACCATGGTGCATCTTCTCCCAAATTACATAGGCAGTATTTAGACGGCTTTTCTCTATGAAGCTTTGAACTCAATGCTAATCCAGACATTTTGAATTGGGAAACGTCTTCAAACTTGGAAAATATAGTCCAGTGGTTGGTTTTTAACTTTTTTTGGAATGGCTGAGAAACTTCACCAGCTTAAAGCCAATCACGTTTTCTCTCCTAATTTAGTCAGGAGAGTTTTATCATACGTTTGTGCAGATTTACAAAGTTGAAAAGAGCTGGACCTTTCTTTGAAATCATGACATAGTAACTAATCAGGGACATGTAAGTGATTTTTTTTTTCACTTAAAATGGAATACGGAGGTAATGTTAACAAAAGTAGGGATAAGGAATGGTCTCAAGATGTCTTTAGGTGGCTTAAAAAAGGACCTTTTAATTTAGTCCTGGACGGATTTAATTGTCTTCACTTACCTCCAGCACAGATCCCGCTCCGTCACTGCCCACTGCTTAGCATCAATGCTTTCCGTAGGGATAGATTTACATGGAAATGCCGCAGAATCCGATGGTCAACCAGACGCAGCTGTAAATCAACCAAAACGGCCTTTTCATTGAGGACTCGTTTAGCATTAGTGTTAGATATTAAGTTTCACCTGTGCTTTTATTGTGAAATGTCAGATCTGGGAGGCTGTTGATTAACTAAATATTAAACAATAATTCCAGCCACTAAATAAGGTAAAGATGCCCACTTTTATATTCAATGCCAGCACAGGAATGACATTTGATGTTTTGCAGATACTTGTAATTGATAGTTTCGATGGTAGATTTATCCGCACAAACGGAGTAGCGCTGAAAAATATTTTCTCTTCTCTCTCAAATCTTTTTCTTCTCTCAGATTTAATGCTTCTTGCACAGATATTTTCTCCTCTCGCTTGCCTCCTTCTCTTCGCGCACAAACTGCGCTCTGCTCAAGTCTCAGATGCGCTCGCAAAACCGTAGGCTCTGCTTGCGGACTTTTTTTGCTCTCTCTGATTGGATCGGATCGTCGCCTAGCAACCTTTCCAGCCAATAGAACGACAGCCTCGGAAAGGGTGCTTAGACTTAGACTTAGACTTAGACTTCTTTATTTGTCATTTTGTATGCACAGGGTGCATACAGAACGAAATTGCGTTACATACAGCTTATGAACGTTGCATTGATATTTCAAATGGCACGAGTTATAGAAAAATACAAAAAGTGCAGCAGTGGTCAAAGTGTGAACAGTGCAGAGGATAAGAGACAGTGTGCAAGTTGCAGTGGTTCAGTGCAAAATGGCATTTGTGCAAAAAATGCGTTATTGAAAAATACAATGAGATGAACAATTTAAAGGGCTAAAAGTTAAAAGTTCAGCAGCATTTGATGCCCGATAATGTGCGCTTGTCTAGCTTCACACAGATGAATGTCATCCAATTTAACCTGGGTCCAGTGTGTAAATACTGCATCTGAAATGCTACCGATTTACCTCCCAATCATTCACATACACCAGACCTTATCCGTACTCACATTCGCAGCATTGCACAGACTTCTTTTAACAAATATTTAACAGAACTTGATATCAGTAAAAACGCATTTTGTGTTGTATTGGCATAGACAAAAGCTGCACAAACAGCCACTCCGTATTTACTGTAAAGATGGGATCAAAATGAGGAGGAATCCCATGACGTTATGCACAGCTCCTACTTGTTAGAATGTTTTATACTTTATCTTCACCTGCTCCCAGTTGTGCTCATGCCCAGTGGGATTGAACCTACATAGAATACATTGATCCACTACCATTTAAGTAGTAAAGTAGTTTGCCCCCATAATGTTGTTGTGGTTACAACAGACATTGGTGGGTCATTTTGATATGTATTAGTTTTTCTTAATATGTGTTTCTGATATCTGGAAATTTCCTCATCAAAGTGTATATGTCAAACAAAATGACATTTTTTATATCTAGAATAAGTCTGCTGGATGTTTAGAAATTAATTTCAGATCTCTATTTTCCTTCTGTTTAAAAAGCGTATTAGGTCTAATTTAAAGTCTGAACAACTGTTGCGTTTCCTCCATCCTGCTTAAGTTTTTTTCCATCGTGCTTAATGCAGGTATTTTTTTCACATGGGGCCGTCGTGGTTATATTCTTTCTTGTACAAACTAAAGAAGTTATTTTTTTTTCATCACTTAATGCAACATTCAAGTCTTTAACATAAGTATCTCTAAGATATAATGTCGGAATTAATGTAATTAGAAAATGTTAAAGTCTGAGGTATTGATTGTTTTACATCAGTCTACAAAAAAGCAATTGTGACTTTAAAAGCCAGTGTTATATGTTAACTTTATCAAACTTGTCCAAATGTTCATATTCATCTCTTGAGTTTAAAATGTATGGATTTTTGCTGATAAACACTTGTTTTGCTTCATTCTTTTAATTTGCAGATCTTGTTCCTTTCCGGACAGTTGTGGTGGAGCAATGTCAGCCATTAATACCCACAGGGCCAGTAAGGCAAAGTCAGGAATACGGCTATGGGTATAAAGACCACAGTTTACAGGAGCACGACTACGTCTGTTTTCAAGACATACCTACTCCGATGGAATTGGTAGCTGTTAAAAAAGAGGTGCGTTGAAAACTTAATTTCATGAAATAATTCCCTTATTTTTTTTATTGTAAATGTATTACTTGTTACCTTGCTTCAACAAGCTCTGATGCTCCTCTACAGTCTGAACTAAAGCGAGAAGATGATACTGATTTCGCTTGTAAAGAAGTTGTGGATGGTGAAAAAGGTGAGATGGGGATTTTAGATGGGGAAGGGGTGTCTCCAGATGTTAATTCTATAAATCCCTATTTTTTAACTTTGTTATAACGTTTCAATAATTTTCCCCCCTTTGTCTTTCATTGGGCCAGGTTCACGTGGGGCTTCTGATGGTCAAGATAAAATTGGAGCACAATGCATAAGCGACACTTCAACTGAACACATTACAGTACCTCAAGAAAATACAAGCCCAGAGGTTTTACAGTTATTCAGTTTAGACACTGGTAATTCACAGATAGCCCAGAAGCAATCCACTGAAATGCAGTGTTCCTTGGTTATTTCACTTAAAGATGCTCTGAGGGATGATTTAAAGGAAGAGTCTGAAATGATAGAAGTTTCAAAACCTAGTAGCTCCGGATGCAAGCAAATGTTTCTTCAAGTATGTAACATAGAGAGTGCAACTACACCTAATAGGAAAACTGCTTTAGATTCTGCATCAGTCGGCGCAGAAATGGCAGGTGATGAATTAACTAATAAAGTCTCAGAAAGTGGAGCCAGTTCACAGCCAGTGTCATCATCAGGTCGCAGAAGAGGACGACCTCCAAAAAAATCAAACAAAGAATGTGACAAAGGTTCAAAACATATGGACTTAACGGATTCATCAGCAGAAAAAAAATCACCAGATCCATCACCTCCTTTGGTGATGCAGACTTCTCACATCATCAATTCATCAATCAAAGAGAGTAAAAATACTCCCTTGAAAGGCAAAAACATAGATGTTGAATATTTGAAAAGCAGTTTATTCTCTAGAGAGCAGCCTGCACTTCAAGATAATGATCCTGGGAAGAAAAAATCTGCAACTGTTGATAAAACACCTAAAAACGCTAACGGGTCATCAGATATACCACCACCAGCTACTTCGGGTTTGCTTAAAGCTGACGAGACCTCTGTCAGCCTTCAGGATGCCTTGTTGCTTGTTGAAGCAATGAATCAGCCAAGTGTGGAAAAGAGCATTCCCCCATTAAAGGTCCCATCACAGCCTAAGGTGATGTCTGGATCTGCTTCATCTGTGGGTTCCCTTAAAACTTCTGAGACCACAATATCGAAATATGCTGCTACTGTTAAATCTTTTCTCTTGTCAAATCAAACCCCAGTCGTACCTGTCATTTTGACAGACAGACCTCCAGATAAACAGGCAGATGTTGAAAAATGTAACGCGCTGCAACCATCACATTTATCTACACAGCTGAAGAGTAGTGCCTCATCAGCTGCTTCAACTCAGGCTGACGTAAAGTCTCTTCCACTTTCTCGGAATTTGCCTGTACCTAATAAGGTACCTCGTAAAATCATTATTCTCCCAAGACCTTCTCACACATCTGATAATGCCAAAGCATTGTCTCAAACCATTTGCTCTGCAGTTAAGTCTGCCACTCTGAAAAAAAGTAATCTACCTCTTTCATCTACAGCAGCAAATATATTGCCTTGTGAAACACCCGCGCTTTCCCCAGTTCCACAAAAAACTGTTTTCTCCAGAGAGGATCCTGACACTCCTTCACAGTTTTACGGCATCCAAAATGATCATCAGTATGTGCTTCCCCAACCAATAACTATTGTTTCAAAACAGTTGTCATCTGGTTTCTCCAAAGAACCTGGGCCTATAGCTCTTACAGCACAGGAGAACAACAACGAACCAGCAGTTCCTGTTCCCCCAGACACTTCAAATCAGTGGATATCTGACACACAAGAATTAACCTTATACCTTTCAGATGATGAAACATCTGAAAAGCTAAATTCAACAGACAATCCTAATTCTTCTGGGGAAATTACCTCTACTGCTGAAAGTATGATTCCTGGACAAAAGTATTTAGTTTCGGTCAGATTAACCCGCCTCCCATTATCCATTTCAACCAAAGAGTCAGTCTTAATCTCAGAGCTTTTATCAAAAGGTATCATCCAAGAAAAGCCATCCACTGCTCATCTCTTAGAAGAGGAACCTGTTGATGTTGATCTTCAGTCACCAGGGCCCACCACTCCCGGTCGACTAACTCCTGATTTGGAGCTACACAAAGATGCTAACGTAATACAGAAGGATACAGGTGATCCTCAAGCTCGGATGGATAACGTTCAGTTCCTGGCCAATCTCTCTGTGTCACCCTTGGAAAATGAGGTAAAGCACAAAGTTGCATAAAAGTAGTAAACCTTTTTTTCAGTAAATATTTTCTAAATTCATGTTTTCTTCTATTTACAGTCTAAAGTTAATGAAAATTCAAACTCCAAAGACACCAAATCCGTTGTCTCACGACCGCAAAGTCATCTACACGCTCATTCTGGAGCAAAAGAAAGTTCATCTAAAAAAGCAATGGAAACTGAAAGGAAGACGGACAACACAACCAAGAAAAAATGGCTCATTGATCAAGACTCAACTGAAGAGCAAGAACAAACAGTTATTGGTGATTCTCTAAATAAGATATCTGGTACTCATGAATCACGACTTGGAGGTGAACCAGACAATTCTACAATCTCTGGAGCTACAAATGACGCAAGAGATGTAGGTTTTAAGATGCCCAGATCTGGTAGACAGGGTGCTGGATCAGAAAATATAAATGATTCTACCTCTAATAGTTCATTGAGTCCTAAGATGTGTACCAAAGTAGTTTCAAGCCCTGAAAAAGCTAATTCTTCTGAAGATGACAGTGGCTCAACAACTGAAATGTGTGCCACCCCAAGTTGCTCTACATCTAAATCTAAGCCCAGAATGAAATCGATAAAAAGAAAATCCTATTTTTGTAGTCCTAGGGATGATACAGAAAGTTCAGAGGGATCCATTACTGAAACGACTGAGAGTGAACCTGAATTCCCCAGTCCCAAGCAGTTTAAATCGGCAGAGAATAGCAGGACCCTAATCGCTGGTGAATCAACCCCGAAGAAACAAAAATGTGTTTGTCCTGGTCAGAAAAAAGCCCACAAATATGTAAATGACAAGGGGAACTCAAAGAGTAAAAGGGTTGGGAAGAAAAGAGGTAGCTATAAAAAAAGGGAATTTAAGTTACCAGTGATTCAGTCAGGGGTTGCGAAGAAGTGGCAAGCTAAAGTATGGTATCCTCCAACACTACCACCCAATGAAAAGCCCATAACGGAAATAATACGACCACCACCTCCGAAAGCCGAATATAGAATTCCTGATATACCTTTCAGAGCTCCACCAGTTGTATCACCTTTACAGCCGTTGGCTGTCATCGGCAGGCATTTGTTAAGGAACCAGTGCGGAGAATGCGGTCGCGTTTTTAGCAACAGCAATGCCCTGGAAAGCCACGTCAGCCTCCATAAAGTGTATCGGCCTTACTCATGCAAACTCTGTGGGAAGTACTTCCCAGATTCACCGAGTTTTAAACGTCATGGCCGGGTACATCGTAACGGCAGGATTCACGTCTGCCAGCAGTGTGGAAAGGGCTTTGTTTACCGTTTCGGTCTTAGCAAGCACATCCAGTTGGTCCATAGCAGAATAAGACCTTTTATCTGCCAGGTGTGTGGCAATGGCTTTTACACAAAGCGTGATGTAGAAGTCCACATACGGATTCACACTGGAGAGAAACCTTTCCAATGCCACATCTGTGAAAGGAGATTTACACGGAAAGTTGAGTTGAACGTCCATTTGCGGTGGCACAATGGAGAAAAGAGACACTGGTGTCAATATTGTGGAAAAGGATTTTTGGATTATAATAATTTAAAAAGACACAGATATATCCACACTGGGGAGAGACCATATTCCTGCCCCCACTGCCCAAAGAAATTCAATCAGACCGGTCACCTCAAAAAGCATGTTAGAAATTTGCATAAGAGTGAATAGGAATAATTTAAAAACTGGGTATTTTCCTCAGTAAAGAGATGTTTTTAGTTGCTTTAAGCAGCACATCTGTAAATATTTAATTTTTTTTCCTTTCTGATTCCTATTTCTGTTTAAAATTAGTAGAGACTATGGCAAACGGTGTCTACAAAGTTTACAAAATTTAGGGAATGGCTTTATTCCCCTCTAATAAAGAATTCATTATTTATGAATGTGAGGGATCAGGGAAAATGGGTGGTTGCAGGTATAGAATGCGACTATAGATGCACTGCCAATCCCTAAACTTCCAATAGAATTTGCACAAAATAGATGCAACTTAAAAAAGTTTTTTTTTTTTTTTTTTTTTGTGGAATTCAAATGTTTTTCTCTGTTTGCAATGAGGGGGGAAATCTTAAGATAAATGTAAGCCAAGCTGCTTTCCTTTTTTTATTTTGAGGAATAATTGGTTCTTTGCATTTTTTGCTATCTAGGAATAAGCTACCAGATTTGTGCTTAACCATAATTCTGCATATCAAACTCTGTTAAAGGTGATGACGCAGGAAAATTATCCGAAAAATGTGTCTAATGTAAAGTAAATTGCCATGAAATCTGCACGTTGAAGCTCTGTGCCATTCTGATCTTAAGTTCTTAGGTGATACGATTTGTCCCGTTAAAAAAATATATATATTGGACAATTTTGAACAGGAATCTAGATTGACATTGGAATTTTGACCAGAATATATTCTTTATGCAAGCTTTTTGTAATTTAGAAAATTTTAATATTGCAGTTTTCATTGACCAAAGTTTTTTTAGACATAGTTTTGTTTGAGAGCAGTTATTCCACATATGTAAGCATTTACTAATGAACTTATATAGGAGCTGTGGAATTAAATTGCTTTGTTTACCTTCTAGTAACCCTGCCTTTGGCTGGAATATAAAGGTCTTGTAATGATCTTTATTGACAAGATGTTTACACAGAAAGTATGTTTTTATTTTGACATAAAAGGATTATCTTTATGTTTTAATTTTATTGTCAATGTCATTTTATTTTTTGGTTAAATATTTTTTTTTTTTTTTATCTAGCATTGCTTTAGTGCAGGCATCTGCTGCAGGTTTTGGAGGCTTCCTTTCTCCAGCACAGCTGATTTTCATTGACTGATTAACAGACTTTTGTTGAACTACACTCATCAGAATCAGCTGTGCTAAAGCAGGGGAACCTCTACCTGCAGGGGACCGACTTAGGGCATGCCTGCTTTAGTTTGCAGTGATTTATTTTAAAAAGCTCTGGAAATGCTGTTTAATGCCTATCTTGGTTGCATTTTAAAAGCAATACGTGGATTATTTTATCCTGCAATGTTAAAAAAGGGGAACATCACAGGCTCTAAATATGTAACTTATTGAATTCATTTGTACATATTGTAAATTATCCAATTTGTCATTTTCAGATTGATATTTTGTTGATTTAACAATAAATGATGTAAAAAAAAAAAAAAATCTTTTTGGGTGTATGTTGAAATTCATAAGCATCTATTTATGGTATTAGGGATTTTGACCCAGTATGAGCTGTGAAATGGCTTTAGAAAGCATATGAGGTGTTTGGGACAAGACTAATGATAAAACCCGAGGGAAGCCAAAACTTACCATTGGTACTTTAGGTCAGGCATCTCCGTCCTCGAGGGCCGCTGTCTTGCAGGTTTTAGAGGTTTCCTTGCTTCAGCACAGGTGATTTAAATTGACAGCTGATTAACAGGCTTTTGGTCTACTGCAATCATTATAATCAGCTGTGCCAAAGCAGGTAAACCTCTAAAACCTGCAGGACAGCGGGTCTCGAGGACCGAGGTTGGGGATGCCTGCTTTAGGTGATCCCAGAATATGCTGAAGACTTGTGCTGGACCTCATAACCCATTGGCCTCACATGTTTAAGACAGGCGGCGGGGGACTACCTTAGTTTTCCCGAGCTTGTGTTTTACATTTCTTTTTAATTTTGGTTTAGAGAACTTGATAACATGTGACTTCCAAACCTTGACAAGGCAACACTAGGGATATGGACTTAAAACATTGGAATTTGTGCCTTTCTGTATTTTGAAGCATAAATGGAACCCAAACCTTTAAAAATAAATAATTTCTTACATTGAGATCAATAACGTTCAATTTCTCCCACACATTGGGGCTGCTCAGTGGTGCAGTGGGTAGCACCGCTGCCTTGCAGACTGTCCCGGAGGCATTCTGCATGGAGTTTGCATGTTCTCCCTGAGCATGTGTGCATTCTCTCTGGGTACTCTGGTTTCCTCCACCAGTCCAAAAACATGACTGTTTGGTTAATTGGCTTCTCTAAATTCTCCTTAGGTGTGAGTGTGTGTGTGTGAATGGTTGTTTGTCTCTGTGTTGCCCTGCGATGGACTGGCGACCTGTCCAGGATGAACCCGCCTCTCGCCCGTAGACAGCTGGAGATAAACACCGGCACCCCTCGCGACCCCACTCAGGATAAAGCGTGTCAGAAAATGGATGATCTCACATTGGAAATATTTACATCTGCATTTTACCCATCCCCTTTTGCAATTGGGAGTTCAGGGTCTTGCTCAGAGACCCAGAGTGGCAGTCTGTGGGAGTCGGCTCGAACTCAGGATTCCAAGCTCAACCTGTAGGCTGCAGCTCTCCATATTGATATAAAAATTATCTGCAAAATACATCACAGCTCCTCTAGGGCGGGAAGTCGTAAATCTCTCCTTCCTTTACATGAAGGAGATATGTCTGAACATTCAAAGAATCACTTGGATGTGTATTTTTTGTAACATACTGCTGTCATTTTGCACATCTCTGATGTTGCTGCTATTTTCACATGTCCATCCATAACTGTAAAATGTCCATAGCTGTATATGCATTATTATTCTCCAGATGCACAGTATTTATATTGTAAAAATACTTTACAGTACAGTATTTCTTTTTTTTAACTCTTCACTATGTTATTCTTTTACACTTTTCTAAGGTCCACATTTGTGTGACCACTTTTGCTATAATCTTTTGCTGCTGTAATACCACACAAAGGGATGTTCTATTCTATTGTATGTAAATTTGGACTCCATGTTTTATAATTCCGCTAAAACTTAAAGGAACCTTTTAAAATGTGTTCTTTTGTGACAGAGGTTTAAACAAGACCTGTTTTGACCTACTTTCCAATATGCTGTAGTCCTAATATTTAGTAATATTTAGGCCATGGGGATTTATTTAATTGAAGGTGCTGTTTCAGGATTTAAAACATGTAATGGATGTTATAATGCTATCTAAATAAGGTGGAGGCACATGCTTTAAGTTAGCAGTTTTACACATGAGTTAAACTCAGAAAACGGAAATATGTCTCCCACCTTATATTGGTTCTAAATTATTACCATCTAAGTATGCTGATGAAGATTCTCAGTCATCCAGGTCATAGTCATCCTGTAAAAGTTTTAAAAAACAACCCACATCTAAGTATTTGCTAAATTCTTTAACCAAAGAAATCCAAAATGCAAAGCCACACAGGCAGCGACAGAGTTGTTTCAGGGATACTGAACAAATGATTAAGTAGCAGCATTTTTGCCACTTTGCCATCCTTAAACACAGCTACCATTTGCTATATGTGAACAGCAGGTGGGGTTGTAAGCTTTGGCAATGGAGGTATTAAGAGCACGTTGGGTAAAAGTTCCATAGCTTTCATACAAGGAAATGAAGGAAAGTTAGGTTGAGAACTTTCACCGGAAAACTCTGTTTTTAAACCAAAAATGCTCTGCAAAAAATCTATAGGGGAATAAAATGCCACCACACACTTTGGTGGAATAAATTCTGGCAATGGTTAAATATAGACAAATTAAATCTTTACATACAGTTGGCCTATTTCGCCATTAACCATAGAAGACACACATTTGAGTGATCATTTTACGTGCTCTTTTAGTAATATATTTTTTAAATTGATAAACTTCATTACAGAGAAAACTCTAAACAGAAACCATAACTTTAAAAATTAAAATAAAAGGTGATACTTCAAGTTCACTATGAGAATTAAAGGAAACAAATAGCTAATTAAAAGATAAAATGAGCCAATAAGGCTCAAAGAGAAGATTTTTATTAAGAGCTTAACAACTTAAAAAAAAATGAAAGGTACAAAAATTATATTGTATACTCCCCTTCTTTAATTACTGCTGCTAGTGGCACAAAGTACTGCAGGATATCTTGCTGTACAAAGGTCTTCCCCTTCGATAATCCCAGGGAATGTTTAAAAACACTACTGCAGGAATGCCCTTGAAATTTAAATCTCATTTGGAAACTTTTGACGGGCCTGGACATGTACTGACTTAAGCAGTGGAACGAGACTGACATTACAGGATTTTAGTCCCTCTGGGTGTAGTGGGTTACAGATGGAGCTCTTTGTAACGTTTGGCTCAGCTCTCTGCAGGTCATTCATCAGGTCCCTTCATGTAGACTTTTACTCATCGTTCTCACAATCATTTCTACTTCAGAGGATGAGATCTTGCCTGGGGGCCCAGATCGAGCAAGATTATACCTGGTGCAGGTCTACAATATTCTTCCTGGTGTCCCTTTGCAGTTCTTTGGTCTTAGCATTAATACAGTTAATGAGTGGAGGACAGAAGAGCTTCTTAAAGGATTACTGATCTGTGAGGGTCAGGCATCTCGCTTGTTCATCGGTAAATAAAAACGTATATTCCACCATTATCTATTAATGAATTTATAAAAATCATGGGTGATTTCCTGGATTTTTTTTGTTTTTCAATTTCTCTTTCATAGTTAAAGCGTACGTACATTTGATGAAATAACAGACCTGTCTCATCTTTCTAAGTAGGAGAACTTGCACAATCAGTGGCTGACACACATACAGGCATTTGGATGCCTCACACAATGCAGAGCCTCATTTTGACCCGTTTTAAGGACATCGTATCAAAGTTGGATCAGCCTGTAGTATGTTTTCCACTCCATCGATTCCCCCATTGGTTAATACATTTGATTTTTATTGATGATTTTGTTTTCATCACATTCAACTCTGAACATACTTCATTCACATCTAGGATGTGTTATGTTAGTGTGCTTTTTATTTTTTTGAGCAGTGTATATTTTTTTTCTGCTTTTTATTGTCATTACATTGTCAAAAGTACAGAGCAACAAAATTCACTTTCTGCATTTAACCCATCCCCTTGGGGAGCAGTGGGCTGCCATTGTGTGGCACCCGGGGAGCAGTGTGGGGTTTAAGGGTCTCTGGATTCCAAGCGCAATGCCCTAACCACTTGGCCACACTCCGCCATTCCCCCCCAATTTGGTATGCACATCAGCAGGCTGGACTGTTTCCTGGCACAATATATTTTAATTTGTTCTGCTTATCCTCCTCCTCTTCTTTCATAACGTTCCCCTCAATCTCCACTACTATGACTAGTATAACGCTGTCCTGCTTCAACACCTCCAAGAATTGATTGACACTACCTTTAAGCTACAAATAACACTAACATCAACAATAATAAACAATATGAATTTATTTGTATTTTTCCTAAATTGGTAGCAGTAGTTATATATTGTAGAAATGCTTGTGAAATGGTTATTCATTAATCCGATTAATCAAGTATACACAACTGTGTACCCTCGATAAAGGTTAATTTTGTACTCTGTAATTTTCTTTCTTTCTTTCTCTCTCTTTTTTTCTCTCTCTGTCTCTCTACAAATATGCATGCAGCCGATAGAAACTGGGCCATCAATCCATTGCTGCGGGAAATATAGATTTTTTTTTACAATCCTTAACTTCTAGTCCCAAAAGTTTTGTGCACCTACAATCTCCTCTTCCTTGCCGCTCTTTTATTTTTCTAACTAGCACAGCTAGTGTTAGCACTTTGCTGAGATCAAACACCCACCAACCCAGGCAGTGCAGTGCAGATGTGCTGATCCAAATAGCAAAATATTGCATTACAGTTTGTTCTTACAGTGCTGAAACAGTACAATACCTGGCAGTTCACCATCTTTCTGTTGTCATGGAGATTCAAACAAGACGATAACTTTGAGGACATAAATTTAACTTAACACCCAATATAACATAAATAAAAACAGATGCAATCACAAAGAGATAGTCACCTGTCAGTGGTGCAATTAATGCAATGTGATTTAAATTATCTGCAACTGTGGACTTGTTACAATACTGTGGCTACCATAGAAGTGATGTGATATTGTTCCATCAAGCTGTGGCTTATGGAGAGGAGAGAATTAGGGACATCTGCTGCTTATTTTCAAGATTATCAGTTGATATAACAGGCACTGGTTGATATTCCTTTCTTAAATTTTATTTCTCAATAAAACGCTGAACAATAAAAACAAATGTATACATTCTGAGCTCCTAGTGTTTATAGATGCACTGTATTTTTCAAACAGACTTATCCTTAATGGTGTTTGAACCTGGAGAGACTCACAAGGAGAAAAGGATGTAATTAGAGAATTTATTGACATAAATTAATATTCATTTATTT